AATCCTGAGAAAAAAAACAGCACTGCAGCCGTAAAGTGGACACCACCAATCCGACCTTTCATTAAAAAAGCTGGACAATTGCTTTTAATTGTTCATGAAGACTTTGGAAGTAGTCTGGTTGATTTTTCTTTTTTTTTTGCACACCCACTAAGAGGAAGTGCTGCGTCATGATGGGTGGCCCCTCTGAGGGGCTGGATTTGTAGGAAAGCTGAGCTGAGGTGGGAAAAGAATTCAGGGTCAAATTTACATGAGTCACTTTACATCAACACACCACAACAATTGTGGAGCAGTGATGGATTCACAGAAGACTTCACCTGCTTATCTGTTCATCTAAAGTCACAAGGAAAACCTTCCTTTTGTGATGTTTGATTAGTCCATTTTCATGGTTTGACGGAGGCAAATCCACCACAGTCATCAGCTGTCAGATTAATGGAAGTGTGTTTGTGTATGAAGGAGTCTTGATGAATATAGGACTTATGCAGATCTACATTCTGGAACCAACATTTAGAAAATGTGTGCTGGATCATACATAAAGATAAGAAGGCATCCTCTGAGGTTGGCCTATTTCCTTTTTTCTAACTATTGCTCCACTGGAGCTAGTTAGACAGAGCCTGCCCAACTACTTCCTAGCACAGAGAATACCAATAAATGCACCAGTCTATAGTAAGTTAAACTGACTCTTTTTAAGTTCTCAGAGAAACGTGAAGAGGCTGATGTTCAGACGGCAAGTGCTAACCAGTCTGCAGACTTCATAAGCAAAGCCCTGCTTTTATGAGGAGATCGCAGGCCACACAGAGCCCTGCTTGATAAATCAGTCAAAAGTGGGCACTGCATCTCACCCTGTAATTCTGGGTTTACCCAGAATGCAATGCGGAAGGCCCACTTTTTTCTTTTGATTGATCCTCTCGCTTTGAATGTACATGTGGAGTCTTGGCCAGAGCTGGACGGTTTCATTTTATTGAGGTGGCCACTGTGGTGGAGGAAATCATTTCACCAAATCAACTGAAGAGCTGCCTTTGGAAATATATAATGTAGTAGAGTATATAGTAATACAGTCAATATATTACATTATATACATAGAATATATAGCATAAATATTTATATATATATATATATATAGTATAGTATAGTATAGTATGGTATAGTATGATATAGTATAGTATAGCATTAAAAAGGATTTTTCTTTAGTTAATCAAGATGCATAGGTTTTAAAAAATTAAAGATAAACAATATTAGAGTTAGATAACAATCATTTGAAGTTTGAAGAGAAACTGTTCAGGGACATGATTTTACTGTGACACTATGCAATTTCCCTCTTTGAACTGTATAATTTGTCTGAGGCAGGTGGGCCTCCAACGGGCTCCTACCCAAACTGTGCATGAGAGGTCTGTGCAAAACCCCATAATTCAGAATAATTAACAAACGTCATAATGCTCTGGAAGAAGAAGTAATGGTGGCCTTACTGCAAAACGCATATTTTGCTGTAAGTAAATAGTGAGTCAAGAGAGATATTACTGTAAAAAAAAAAGAGAGTTAAAATCTATTTAAATACCCCACTGCATCTTGAATAAGAGGGTAGAATGGCCTCTGAACACAGCGATAGACAGGGGATAGAGACAGAGAAGGTTGGGCCGTGTGATGTTTAAGGCAGAAGGATTCGGAGACGTACAAGTAGAAACACGTGGACGAGGCGGGCAGATGCTACGTGTTGCTGGCTGCTGCTGCTCCGAGGCTTGCCGGGGAATGTGCAGTCTAGATGCCTCGCGAGCTCTGCCTGGCAGTGATGTAAAAACGCAAAGATACCATGGAAAACGGGAAGCTAATGTTTTGCAGGTTGCCTCGAGTGAAGAGTTTAGCTGGAGTTTTGTGCATGGCCCAATTAAAACGAGCGTGGGACACGCTTTGATAAAAGCCGTCTGAGTTGATCCCTCCTGAGGGTCTCCACTGCCTTTAACAAACCGGAGAGCCCCTCCGCCATCAAACAGTTTCCGTTCATAAATGCTTGTCTAGAGGATTGGGGGGGGGGCTGCTATTATTTTTCATTGTGGAAAACAGTAGCACTTTTCTCATTAGCACAAAGAGGGTACCTAAAAAATTTGGAGACCTGTGTCTTCATGGACGCACAGACTTCCACAACCTGCCAGTGACAAACATGGAATTTCTTCTCTGTTTCGGTTCCTTTTTGTCCTCCTTCTGTTGTGACAGAATGGCTGTTTTTACACAGGCGGACTCTCAATGATCGTCTACTTTGGCAGTAATGACAACCCGACTTGGTTCAGATTTCTCTGACCAGAGAACTTGAAAGCATCTCTGCGTACCTGTGCTACACATCCTATTCATCACCGAAAAACTCTGCAGCTTCAAACTACAACGAAGAAGTGCTTGAAGGCAGCTAAAATGCCATAAAATCATTTTGTGTGCTTCCGCCCAAACCGCCAGTCTAAACTCTATATATTATAGATTGCAGCAACTCCAGTCCAAGGCAAACAGCAGAAAATTACCAGTTCTATTTAAATACTGTCCTGCGAGCTTCAGCTTTGTTTCGCTCACAGAAAGACGCTCAGGAAAACAGTGCTTAAGAATCGGATTCCTAATCTGATCTCTGCTGATTAACGGTGATGCGTAAAATGAAAGAAAGGGAAAAAATAAGGTCCACCTTGTTTCTGCACAATCCAAACTCATGCCGTCCTAACAGAAGGTTTTCCCCACTACCCTCCCTTGTTTTATTCCATACTCAACACCTCAGTATTTGTTAGTTACTTGAACAACTCCCATCGTTTTTATAGAAAAATAATATTTTTTGGTGGGTTGGTCTTGTCCACATGATATTGACAATTTGATCTTTTGATAAAAGTGATAATGCATTCACAAATAAAGAACAGCTTTGCTCTCAAGTTTGATTTCAATTTAGGATGTAAGAAAAGAGACACATTGGCCTAAACAGGTTTACCTGATCTCAGTGCAAAGGAAAAGTTGTGTGACCTTTTTAAAATCTTTTTGAACTATTGTGATATTTTACAGTTGCTGAGATGTTGAAAAAATACGACAGTAGACGGAGAAAGGGAGACTAACAGCTGTCTAATCTGTATGGCCCGTCTTTAGGCAGATGCTCAACTTTCATTAGACGTGGAAACAGATGCTAAAAATGAGCTGCTTTGTTCAAACAGAATCACTCACCACACAAGTGTTCCCAGAAACTATTCATTTTCTGCCACAGCTGAAGCCATAAGATAAACGTGATATAGGTCTTTGACACCTGGAGTTTGAACTGTGGCCAATGACTGTCTTTAAGAGGATGTGCGGACCAAAACACATGATTATTACTGTACAAAATACTCAGTAAACGATATCCAAATGATGGATGCTCTTGAGTTTTCAGTGAGGACTAATGGATTTTTCTCTTAGCTTGTGTAAAGTCAGTGAGCAGTTTTGGATGTATCATCCATATGGGATGCTATCTTTAACCTTGTATTGTCCATATTGCTTCAGGCTGCCTTTCTTGACACTGTGGAACAGCAAGCAAATGACATGAAAATCACAGGCTTTGGAAGAATAAATGTCATGATATCATATATTGAATTAGACAACAAATAAAGGGGACATTTACAATTCCACATATTGAATTGACCCAAAATTTTGTTCTTATATGGTCATGTTTGTTATATTCTGGCAAATAGTGTCATCTTTTTTTTCATGTTATGACCCACTTACCCATTTGTTCATCTAGATTTATTTAGGGCTGGAGGCTATCCATCCAACCTGTCAGTGGGTGAGAGCAGGGCACAGCCCAGACAGGTCACCAGTACATCACCACTTCTGTCAAACAGGAAAGGACAAAACCAATATGTGTAAAACGATATGCATATTTTTGGGATTAACTAAATACGACAGAGCACTGTTGTGGTGCCTCTGGATATGACTAAACAAACTGCATGAAAAATCGGGACAGAAACAGTAAAAAAGCTAAAAAGTACTTGTGCAAGTCAAAGGATAACGTTTTAACTAGCAAGAGTTGGTGGTAAATAATGTGAGCATCATGCCATTAGAGCATGAGCTATAGTGCATCATAAAGGTTCAGGATCTGAAAGGAAGACAGAAAGAGAGCAGCGAGGAGTAAATGAGGTCAGATTGGAGCTGCACTGTAGTTGTAGAAGCTGCAACGTGTCCACAGTGTAACCAGACTGCTTTGTGGCTCTGCCAGGTTTTCTTCACTCGCCCTCTCCCTCCGCTTCCAACATCACGACACGGCCATATCTCTTTTGGAAGAGGTGGATTCAAACAAAGCTAACTTCACTTGTTCCTAAGCTTGTTCGTGTTGCTTAATGATGTTTTTTTTTTTATTTAATTCACCAACAAAACTGAGACTTTTCCTACTTTGTTGGAGTCACAGCTCCAAATGATGGGTTGTACTTGGGAATGATGTGGAAAATGAGAGAACTTCATGGTTATGACTTCCTTAACGTGTCCCTTAATATGAATAGGATTCAGTTTATGTGTAAGGTTTTATTCTTTGGTGACTAAGTTTTTTGTTGCATGCTGCAAGCTGGTGGTCATCTTCAGTTCCTTGTAGATACTCCAAGAACTTAATGGCGGAGTAAAAAGTGCAATAAATGAACATGATTTCCTCTTTAGAAGGGAGAAGCACCAGATTTCCTCATCATAATATAGAAAATGAGATATCAGTTTTTCCTTCTGTTGTAAATTGCCAACTCCACTTCAACTGAAATATCCCAAAAATCTGTTCTATTAGTGAAATCCAAATCAGATAAAGTTAGTTCACGGCCGCCAAGCCTCGCTTTTAAAGCCGAATTGACAAAGCAACTCAAGTCTCAATTAAAGGAAATCCACATAAAGTGTCAGTCGGTGATAGAAGACGTCTGCTCGTTGGAGAGCCGGTGCGTAAATGGTGGCTTCTCCTCATCATCCACGTTCGAGCTGAGGCGTGAACTTGCTTGACATGTTCTAAGACTGCCCCCTTCTTCTCTGATGAAGGAGGGATCCTGTGCAAAGAACATGTACAAGTTATTCGGTGAGCCCGGGACCTCCCCAAAAAGTTTTGGCATATAAAAGCCAAGCTAAGTCATTTGTTTAGGCAGTAGGGAGTTTCTGCTAGGGTCTGGATTGGAGTTACACACAGACCGGACCCTACCGTGTATGACTGGTGTCTGAGGAGAAAAAGAGGACCCCCCCCTAGCCGCAAAGAATCTACATGTCTAACATTTAGACATGTTCAGCTTTGTGGATATTCGGTTAGCGCTGTTGCTCTGCGCAACAGTGCTTTTGGCGAGAGGTCAAGGCGAGGATGATAGTAAGTATCCTTTTCAAACAATGATTAGAGTTGGTTTTTGTTTTTTTGGGACGGTGGCTCTCTCGGGATGAGGAAAGCCCGCAAGGATGCTGAACAGTTTGCTGGAACTGACTTTCCTCTAAGGGATACCTGCTGACTCCACCGGGCAGAGATGGTGAAAGTTGTTGCGCTGTGGGGCGTTTAATGTCCCCCCCACCCCCCAACCCCCCACCCCCTCTTGGAAATCTGGAGGAGAATAGGAATTTATAGACTGGATTTTTCCATAATGTTTGCTCTTCTCGCTGGCGTGCAGATACATGCTCAGTAAGCGACCTGTTGCGTTGCAAACCTGGAGGGGAGCAGCTGCTCTTTCTCCGATGCGCAATGGTAGGAGATTGGGCTCTAAACGAGTTTAATCACATGCATTAGAGACGTGTGACAGGCAGTTGTGTCGATCAAGTATTGCGCACAAAGTGCTCGTTTTTGGACGAACCTGTTCAAACTGTTTATCCAAAAACGCGTAAAAACCTGTCAGAAGTTGCTGGGTTTGAAAAACCCACTGATGGATGTTTAGAGAAGTGGGACTTCTGACATTCGTCATGGTCTTTTGTAGACAAAGAAATTCAGAAAATCAAAGGTTTCAAATGGACTTGGTTTAATAAAAAAAAAAGAGACGAGAATGGAAAAATAGTTAAAGTCTGACGTCGACAATGAAAAAGGGGCACGTCTAGACATCAGTTAATCATCGTCCCAGTCAGGGCGCGGGGTGCCTCCTTTCATAGGGCAACAGCGCCGCTTTGTGGCAGCCACAGGAGCTGCACATCCATCCACGCCAACCTCTATTCCTCTATGTAGGCTTAAACCCAACCCCACATCCATCAGCCCCAAAACAGTGATTCGGACCGTTATTACGCATTCGTAGATTTTGAATTCCTGATCCCCCTTTCCCCCCTCTGTCAAACAGAAATAAAACAGACCCCAGTTACATATTGGTCTGGCAGACACACACGTTGGACTGCATTGTAAGCTTCTTTTCTGCTTAGAGATTAGCCACAATCGACCTGAGATTTAATGGTATAGCTCAGTGACAACGATTTTCACCCGGCTTACAAATGTGCCGCGCTCGTCTGGATTTCTGAATAAATATGTCACTGGATATTTTCTGTGTCGTGCTGAGTAGGGCCAGAAGGCAGGGGATGGTCCAGAGTGGTTTTTGACCAACAGAGACCAACAAAGTTTGGGCATCCTGAGCACACAAACCTTAGTCCTTTACATAGAAAATCATGTAGGAGATGAATTAGAGTTAGGTCAAGCATCTCCGTTTTTTGCTTTGTGGATCCAAGTTTCTCTAGCTGTTTCGATACAAATCTGTTTTTTAACAATGCAGCCACACAAGCAGCCAAAACTAAGATTGGATTGATATATTTCACACTGAATAACAGTTAAGAAAACATTCCTTTGATAGCATTATTAAAAAAATTATTTGGGCTTTATATGTTGATCTCTTTGAAACTCTGGCTCTTAAAGACGGTGGAAATGACTCCACCAGCTCAGGAATTCCTCTTCATGTGGTTTAGAGAGCAATTGTCTTGTGAGTTTCACCAGCTTCCAGCTGGGCCCGTCAGAGTTTCACATGGCGGCCTTGTCTGCATCGTGAAATCATGGGAGCCAGTGACTGGAAAAGTTAACCACACAGATTTAGCGTTTTGACAGAGATGTTTCCTCGGATCTCAGCAGTGGTCTCAGCCGGGGCTCCACTGCTTTACTCTAACTCAATGTACATGACTGGTGCACTGTCTTTTCTACACACACATACAGTAGGCATGTGTAGAAAAGGTCAAACCAAGCTTTAGATGCTAACTTGACATCAAAGCTAATGGTTTGATCCTTAAAATCTAAATTCAAGGTGCCAATAAGTCAACACCCGCGTTATTATCCTCGCCTTCTTGTAGAGTAACCAAACTCATCCCTACACGTGTTCCTTTCCAGGCACAGATGGCAGCTGCAAATCAGACGGACAGTTGTACAACGACAAGGATGTATGGAAACCAGAGCCATGTCAAATGTGCGTGTGCGACTTCGGCCATGTCATCTGTGACGAGGTGCTCTGCGAGGACACCACCGACTGCGAGGACCCATACATCCCAGACGGAGAGTGCTGCCCCATCTGCCCCGACGGCGATGGTACTCCCCCAGCTATTCTGTGCTTTCTTTAGCCTTATGGCGCCACCTAGTTTCCTCTCGTGCCCCCTCTGATCACCCCTGCCTCTCGGGCCACAGATGGACGTGATGCTTTCAGCCTTACTGCCTGCCTGCTTGAGGATTTCTTTCAGAAAAGAATCACTTTGGAATATATATATATATATATATGTATTTTTGGTTCATGTTCACAAAAGTATTATTTAACAATGGATTATAATCCGTCTTTGGTGGAATTTGGCAAACATGGCTGCCCGTGCAGGTCCAATGTAGCATAAAACATACAGATCTTCTGGTTTGTCTTCCTTTTCATTGTTACATTATTTTGAAATAAGGTTCTGTGTTGATTTAGATTCAGGGAACCTTTCACATAGCGTATTTCTGTCTTAAATCCCCTATCCTGCTGTCATTGGCTTTGACTTGCGGCTTTATCTGAGCTTTACTGTCACTCTCAGCTATAGAATGTTTTAAAAGTGAATTAATTTGTCCCGAAGAAGTGTTGACATTTCTTTTTCTGTTGATTTTGTAGGACCTGAGTATCCAGACTCTGAGGTATTTTTGCCCTTTTTCTCTTTTAGTCATGTGGAAAATATGTTGGATTTCTTAAACTATAAACTTAATGTACAAGTTTATATTCTAGACGCAAGTCTAGGCTTGACACTGTCGGTAAACCCTGAAGCTCAATTCAGCTCTTCTATCTATCCTTAGATTGTAAAGGGACCCACCGGCCCAGATGGAGACCAGGTAGGTTCAGCGCTACGTATGATATCATTTACACAATTTAAGACACTCTTTAGATATAAGTACATTTTGAAATTGATTTAATTGAAGTTGCATGTGTATGTATAAGCAGATATTTTGCCAATGTGAGGCACGTTCATCAATATTATTGCTCTGTGTCAGCGTCTAATCACACATATTGGTGCTTTTGGTGCTCCACATTGGCTTTTTCTGCTAGTTTTTAGGGTATTTACAATGGCTACTTTTTGCTTTATTGTGTGTATCACCAGTTTGTGACTAAAGCTGCAGATATACATATAAATTACACCATCGTGTGTTTTGGTAGAGAGCCTTTAGAAGGTGGCCTGCAGGGTGATGAGGATGCTGTAGCGTTACAGATGACTTTTGGCACACAGGTCAAAAGGTCAACAGAGGTTCAGAAGTCACAAAAGGCTAACTGTTAATAAAAAATGAAGCCATATCACATTTTGACAAGAAGCTTGTTTCAGTGACTCACACATTTTTCCATTATTGACATCATTAAAGTAGGTGCCTAACCAAAATGGTTGACTTCCTCCTCAGGGTCCTCCTGGTTATCCTGGCAATGACGGAATCCCTGGACGGCCTGGCCTCCCTGGCCCTCCTGGCCCCCCTGGCCCCCCTGGCCTTGGCGGAGTAAGTATCACTGAATCAGGACTTCCCCGTTGTCACAAGATTAAAATCTGAGTAAATCAGCAGTATCTTACAAACTTAAGACTCCACCCTAATGCTGCAATACTAACTCATCTAATCCCAAAGCAGTAAATAATTATTTGATTAAAGTTTTAATGAGTCTCTTGGAAAATAGATCTTTTTATAGCTGATGGCAAAGGTATGATATAAACAATCAATGGGGAAATTTTCAATGCCAGTTTTGGTGGTTTTGTGTCAGGGTGGCATTTTGATGGGTAGTTTTTCTAAAACTAAGTGACTAATTACTGATTTTCTCCCCTCACAGAACTTCTCTCCTCAAATGAGCTACTCTGACCACTCAAAATCCAGTGGCCCACCCATTCCTGGTCCAATTGTAAGAAGGCCTTTCTCTATATCTCTTGTGCTGCCATTTGTAAAATGTTTGAACATTTTAAAGATAAATTAAATGCTTTTTGCTCACCTTCATCAATAGGGTGCCCCAGGTCCCCGTGGTCCTCCTGGACCCCCTGGTTACACTGTAAGTACCATTTTATCATTTAAAGAATAGTTTAGGTATGATGTCAATCTTTCTTCCTGCACACTTTAAAAGGGGCTTTGTGTTAACCTGTTTCCTTTGTTGTCCATTAGGGTCCCGCAGGTAATCCTGGAGCCCAAGGCGAGCCTGGTGAGCCAGGAGCCTCTGTAAGTATTCATGATTATTGATTTATTTTTATTTTTTTGATAGAAGCTAGAAAAACAAATTTCTTGGAACATGTAGCACAGCTGCTACACTTAAGAAGTTGTCATAAACATCATTGATTCTTTTTTTTTTTTAGTAGGATGCTACTTCCTTCACTAACACACATTTACACATATAAGTTTTTGATTTACCCTTTATTCTTTACTCACAGCAGCATATTGAATTTTCAGAGGTCAGTTTTGGCTACAAATCCTATAATCTGTTGCTTTTTGTAGGGTCCCATGGGTCCCCGTGGTCCTGGTGGTCCCCCTGGAAAGAATGGAGATGATGTAAGTGATGTTTGATGAGATCAAGTTTTTTTTCCAACAACTCTGTTTCTCACATGTATGAGATGTTAACCAATCATCATAAATATGTTCTTTCTTATATCCTATTTTGGCAACATTTCATGCCCTAAATCTTTCCATCTGGCTTTGTTTAAGCCAAATACACTTTCCAAATGAAACGCACAGCTGTCAGTGACCGTTGAGGTTTTTTCTTTGTGTTTCAAAAGGGTGAAGCTGGCAAAGCTGGACGCCCTGGAGAGCGTGGACCTGCTGGCCCTCAGGTGAGCATTTTACTCTGAGAGCAAAGATCAGAGGGTGTGAGGCTAAATAAACCTCTTGTCAACAATTATTTGAAGGATGATAAAAAAGTTAATTCAGATTATCTAAATTCTCCCAATTTTTAGATATATATGCCTATTTTTCTCTAGTTACAAGTCTTCAAAATACATGTTGAAAAATATGTATACAGATATTTTCAATATGTGTTTTTCAAACATATGTATGTATATGTATGTAAATGAATATATGTTTATCTTTTATTTTTCTCTTGCAGGGTGGCCGTGGATTCCCTGGAACTCCTGGACTCCCCGGCATCAAGGGACACAGAGTGAGTTGTTTGAGTGATGGTTTTCCATTGTTCTTGCTCACCATTTGAACTGACATGTCCTAAAGGTGATCTCTGATCCTGTCCACAGGGTTTCAGTGGTCTAGATGGAGCTAAGGGAGACGCCGGACCTGCTGGCCCTAAGGTGAGATGACAGGGTGAATGATGGTGGAGGAAATCTCTTTATGAGATTTGAATTCATCTCAACTGTTGCAGAGCTAATCCCTTTTTTTCTCTGTTCATGTCTGTAGGGAGAGGCTGGTGCCCCTGGAGAGAATGGTGTCCCTGGTGCTATGGTAAGTTCTGCCTCATGCCACTTGGGCTGCTAATGCACACAAAAAAACAAAAAACAAATCTCCTCTTATAAAGATGCAGCCAGAATATTGCAATCAATCTTAATCTGATTGCTCTTACATAAACAAATGTTAAAATATTCTTTCCTTTGTCTCTTCAAGGGTGCTCGTGGTCTTCCTGGTGAGAGAGGCCGTCCTGGACCTGCAGGCCCATCTGTAAGCACTGCCATTTCTCTTTTTGTAATTTCATCCACTGAGGCTAGTGTTACTGCTGGTGGAAGGCATGCGCAAAAAACCGAGATCGTTGGTGTAATTCTGCCACCCTCGTCTGCAGGGTGCCCGCGGTAATGATGGCAACACCGGTGCTGCTGGCCCTCCTGTAAGTACTCAAAACTATTCAAACATCTCAATCTGCTACAGTGAGAGATTCAGTGCCCAACATACTGGTATTTGAGTTTCCTTTCTCCAACTATCTCTCCTGAAATTTAGGGACCCACTGGACCTGCTGGTCCCCCCGGATTCCCTGGTGGTGCTGGTGCTAAGGTAAAAACTCTTGATATTCATGACTTTTAACATAAAGTGAGGCTGTTGGGCTCTTAAGGTCCATTTTAGGTGCTTCACCTCTGTTTTACCTTCCTGTCTCATATCTAATTTAAAATAAGAGTTGATTCTACAACTGGGGATATTAGAGGAGGAACATTATCTAGTCTTTTTAACCCTTCAATCACCATGGAGTCCCGTAATCTCTTACTAGTTGGATAATGGCCTGCTCTGATGAATCCCTGTTCCCTTTAGGTTTTAGACTCTGTTTCACAGTTATCCCATAAGAAACCAACTATGAAACTAAAAAACAAATTATTTGGCATTTTACTGCCCAGTCCACGTTAACATTCCAGCCACCAGATGGCATCAGTAGACCTCTAATGGCATCTTTCCCCTTCTGCCATTCCCCATCTGGAAGAGCAGTGTTTTTATAATCGCCCCTTAAAAGCCATTGAACTGTAAGTTTTAGATGCTTTAGAACACCTGGTTCAAATGTAGGGATCAATACTGGACTCATGAGAAAACGTTATTGCATGTTAAAGTAACCAGTACGTGTGAATGAGGGCCAATTGTGTAGACGGACATTTACATAAAATCTGGCCATTTGGTCTGGATCACCAGGCCGAGGACATTGCATTAGTTCATCTATTTTAATGCTTGTAGTCACACAGGTCACAGCTATTTTTAAGTTTCAGAGAAATTAAGAAAAAGTTGTTAGTAACTGACTTTCAGTCAGTAACTAAATTAATCCAAGCAGTATCAGGCCACTGAAAACTGATCTGACACTTTCAATTAGTTTTGTTTTAGTACTAAGAAGTTTATTTAGTTTTTAATTTATAATCATCCATTTTTAATGTAACCATACATGTTTTATAAGCTTTCATTTAGGCTTTTACACTTGTTTTGGATTTATCACCTCAGTCGAATTAGATTAAAAATGCAGATTTTCAGAATTTTTGGTTGCTATGTTCCACAGGGTGAGACTGGCCCTCAGGGAGGCCGTGGACCCGAAGGAGCTCAGGGAGCCCGTGGTGAGCCTGGTAACCCAGGACCTGCTGGAGCCGCTGGACCAGCTGTGAGTGGATCCTGACCTGATCACTCTGTTACATTTTATATGCTGTTTTTGAGAAGAGAACGTTTTTTTTACAGTTCTTTTGTCTCTGTTCTTGCAGGGTACTCCTGGATCTGATGGTTCACCTGGTGCTAAGGGTGCTACTGTAAGAATCCTTCAGACAGATCATGTTTATCCCACTTGGATTCTGCATATGCACTCTTCTCACGCTTCAGCTCTTTGCTCCATAGGGTTCTGCTGGTATTGCTGGTGCTCCTGGTTTCCCTGGATCTCGCGGTCCTGCTGGAGCTCAGGGAGCCATTGGTGCTCCTGGTCCTAAGGGTAACAGTGTGAGTAGGCAATTTAATATGTGTGGTTTTACATTTGACATCAAGTCCATCTGTATTAAAGATTCAGGATCACCTTAATACCTAAATAGAATATGTCTGGATCTGCCAACAGGGGGACCCTGGTGCTCCTGGTCCTAAGGGAGAGCCTGGTGCCAAGGGCGAGCCTGTAAGTTTTAAATGGCATCGATGGTATTTTGTCTTCAATTGATCAGTTTTTGTGATACAATGAAATGAGACGGATGGTTTTCTGTCTTTTCCAGGGTCCTGCTGGAGTTCAGGGACTTTCTGGCCCATCTGGTGAGGAGGGAAAGAGAGGAGCCCGTGGAGAGCCTGGTGGTGCAGGAGCCCGTGGACCCCCTGGAGAGCGTGTACGCTATTATCCTTCATTTTCATCTTTCATCTCTCTATATGAGTTTATGGCATACAACATAAAGTAAAACACACTTTATTATGAGTTGTAATTGAATTTTATTTGCGACATGATAAATTCCCTGGTTGATTCACCCCTGCAGTGTGAGGTAATGGGTTAGTGATATTGCTGGTGTGTGTGTGTTTTAGGGTGCTCCTGGTGCTCGTGGTTTCCCTGGTGCTGATGGACCTGCTGGTGGAAAGGTGAGCTAGTCCAACAATGCCTCAGATTACAGTCATGTTTAAAAACCTCATCTTCAGCTCATCAGAACCCTGACTATGAGATTTGAGACTATCAAAAATAAAAATGTCTATCCCTGAAGATCAAGTAATGATAGTAAGTAATTTTTCTTTATAAATTTTCACTTGTATTTCAGGGTGCTCCTGGTGAGCGTGGTGCCCCCGGAGCAATGGGAGCTCAAGGAGCCACCGGTGAGTCCGGAAGCTCTGGTGCTCCTGGCGCTCCTGGACTGAAGGTGAATTTTTGCAGCTGAAACATTTCTTGAATACGACTAAAAATATGTTTATTGGAGCGTATGAGTTCATCTCAAATGTGACATTTCTTTAGGGAGTGACTGGCAGCCCTGGAAGCCCTGGCCCTGATGGCAAAGCTGGACCTGCTGTAAGTCGTGAGATTCTAATGATTGACCGTGACACGATGGAACTGACTTTGGAGCAAATTAACTAAATCTGGATACATTTTCATTATTTTCTGTCTTTTCCTGTCTGTCTATAATCTTTAGGGTGCCTCTGGACAAGATGGTCGACCTGGACCTCCCGGCCCTGCTGGATCCAGAGGACAGCCTGGTGTTATGGGTTTCCCTGGACCCAAGGGAGCTGCTGTGGGTTGAAATATATTATAGTCACAATAAGATCAAATCTTGATGAAAACCCTATCTAGAGATGGTCTAAGCATTGACCTCGGTCTTCTTTTCCCAGGGTGAGTCCGGTAAGGCTGGTGAGAGAGGTCCCGCTGGTGCTACCGGTGCTGTTGTAAGTACTTTTACTTTTGTACGATGAAAGAGAAAAAGTGCCAACATGTTTTTGATAAAATGCAATATCTGGTTGTTCTCAGGGTGCTCCTGGCAAAGACGGTGACGTCGGTGCTCCTGGACCTTCTGGCCCTGCTGTACGTAACTAATCTTGATCTTTATATCCAATTCACAAATGTAAGATAACTGATCCGTCCTTGAGTTTTTATCAATCAAAAGAAGAGATGACTTTTATTTTTAACGAGTTGACTTGATTAAAAAAAAGGAATCACAAGATGTGCTCAAGGGTTTCTCCTCATATTCTTTCTTTTTCTTTCCTCTTTTTTAAGGGAGGCGCTGGAGAGAAGGGAGAGCAGGGACCTGCTGGTCCTCCTGGCTTCCAGGTACGTTTTTGAGTCTTTGAGCAACCATGAAGCTGTCATTAGTTTTGCAGCATACATTATTTCCTTATCGCGGCACAAATTCCCTTTATAAATGGTCCACCTTTCATTTTTTTTTTACAGGGTCTTCCTGGACCCCAAGGTGCTACTGGTGAGACTGGCAAGACCGGTGAGCAGGTATGATTCCAAATAAATTATTCATAAATTATTCATTTTTAAATTTTAACTAGCCTCAAAGCTGGATCTTAACGTTCTGTGTGAAATATAGTAATTATTAAGGCTTTGCAGACATTGACATATTCAGAGCAGAAGAGAACTGATGTAAATGCAAATGCTGTAAACATGATAACCTACTATCTTTTTTGTTCAGGGTGCACCTGGTGAGTCTGGACCCTCTGGCCCAGCTGGACCCAGAGTGAGTGTCTCCTTCATTTTGTAATCAAACCGTATTCAGACTCGTACTGGAAAGACAGGCCATGACTGATGTTTTCCTTCTTTTGTTCAGGGCGACAGAGGTTTCCCTGGTGAGCGTGGTGCTAATGGCATTGCTGGCCCAACTGGACCCCGTGGTTCCCCTGGCCCTGCTGGCAACGATGGACCCAAGGTATGTTAAAGAAAAAAGACGAGGAAGTCCTGAAACAGCGATGTCGCTGTTTAAATTGGTTTACAATGAACGTCACATCACACAGAACTAAAGAAAAACCTGTTGCCCTCATTTTTATGGCTGCAAATGTTTTAACCAGTCTTAAACAATCGATTTAGTGGTGAAAAAAGAGGACACTTTAATCTACATTTGAAAGGGATCAAAGGCCAAGAAATTAAGTTTGAAATTCTCCCTTTTATAGTATCAAATGTACACACAAAATGGATGGAGCTTGAAGACATTTAAAATATTAATTTACACATTCAGAACCAAAAGAAACTCAAATTAATTGAACCACTGGAGAACAGTTGACCTGATTTGCTGAATATAAGTTTCTCTAGTGTTTTCTCTGCTTCTCTGCTGATTCATACTTTTAACTCAATGTTAAGAAAATAAGATTTCTGCCTTTCACACAGACTTTAAAAACAAAATATTTTCTCTTATCTGTCATGACAATAAATGTTACCATAACAGAACAAAACAATACATGCATTTTGCCCATAGTTGGGTTGTGAAGCCTTTCATACATAGGATCTTTTTCTTCACTTTCCACTAAGGATTCAGTAAAGAAAACAACATGAAGTTGCATGAATGATTTACTTCCATGTAACATGTTATGGTTAAAAGTTCAATAATAGGCTTTTCTATTCTTCTGCTCTGGACTAACTGCAATGTTAACCACTAACTAAATTAAACTAAACTAAAAAAGACTTAATAGATAAAGGTTGCTTGGACCAGTAATTAAAAGGAGGCCAAAGCTTATCTCCCCATCTTTAGAGGGGTTATGTACTGTATATATACTGTATATATACTGTGAAATACCATGAAAAAGGCTTTCTAATCTATATACTTAGACTTAGACTTAGACTGAACTTTATTGATCCCTTGGGAAGACTCCCTCAGGAAATTAAGGTTACCAGAAGATACTGGAGAGGCAGCCGTCTACACAGCGCCAGAATCTTATGCTTCTTTTGGGAAAAATACATACTAATATTAAGTTATATATTTATTTATATGTACAAGCATTTATACAACTACAAAAGTTTATAATATGAGATTCTCATATGCATTTTGTTATCCTAGTAAAGTTTGAACTAGCATTGTTTTGTGCTTTAATGTAGAGCCTTTCTACAAAGCTCTTTAGGGTGCTTCTCATTTATATATTCACACACGGAGAGATTGAGCTGCGGTGCACAGAACTGAGCTACCAATAGAGGAAAAATGTGGTTTTACTGTCTTTACTGTCTTTACTGTCTTTTACTGTCTTCTTCATGATGTGGATATTTACGTTGTTGTTCGTGAATTCAGGGAGAGCCTGGTGCCGCTGGTGCCCCCGGTGGTGTGGGAGCCCCTGGAATGCAGGGAATGCCTGGTGAGAGAGGAGCTGGCGGTATGCCCGGTGGCAAGGGAGAGAGAGTAAGTATAACAGCAGCTAACTTAATATGGAACCCTTTTGGTAAAGATAAGAATGATTTCCATCTGACAAAGACTATGTTTCCCAAATATCTTATTTGTTTGAATCAGTAAATATGAAATTTAAACGATCAAGTTGAACTTAATATATCAAAGTATGAGAGAATGAAATATTGATTTCAATGTCATTTTGCAACTGGACAAACAGCTGTGATGAGGCAATGATAAGTAAAATGAAAAAGTATTTTCAGTTAAGAAAATAAGAAGCAATAGCAGAGTTAAACTCACTGATTGAAGTCATAAGCATGATGTCTTTTTGTAATTCAGTTCCAGGATCATGTTCAGTTCTACTAATAAACCATATAAATATTAATTTCCTATTCAACATATATTCAACATATTCAGGCTCTTCTGGCTAACAAAGAACGGCTGCACAGCTCAATGGAAGAAGACTTTTTGAAATTAAAATGTCTCTCTTTTTAGGGCGACGCTGGTGCTAAGGGAGGTGATGGTGCCCCTGGCAAGGATGGCGTGCGTGGTATGACAGGTGCTATTGGTGTCCCTGGACCTCCTGGTGCTCAGGGTGAAAAGGTAAAGAGTACAGAGGGACTGTACAAAAATAACTGATATTCAGTCTTCTTTTTAAGTGTCCTTTGAACAGACCTTTTATTTTAGATGACTGAAATAGATAACCAAATGTATCTAAAATGGCAATATTGCAGTATTGTAATGTGTGTCATTTTGAAATAGAAATTCAGTGCGTTACTAGATCACTGGACACTGGCTTAATGCAATTTTTCTGCTTTCCGTTAATATTTTATTGTGATGAACAACCAGTTTGTATGCTGACATCCTGTTCTTCTCCACCCCTGCTTTTAGGGTGAGGGTGGCCCTGTTGGAGTTGCTGGACCCACTGGCCCCCGTGGTTCCCCTGTAAGTTATTCTACAAACTCAAGACCTGATTAAGACTGAAATTTAACAAGATGCATAAGAAATTTGAATATAGCAGGCTCTAGCTGGTTGGTGTAAATACCAAGGCAGGTGTATCATGATGTCCTTCTTCATTACACAAACAGGGTGAGCGTGGAGAGGCTGGACCTTCTGGACCTGCCGGATTTGCTGGACCTCCTGTAAGTAATATCTTGGCGTTGGTATTTCTATAAAACACTGTGTAATCATCCCAACCAAAGTTTCTGAGCTGGGAAAAGAAAGATTTAATCCTCTTGTACTCTTAATTCAGGGTGCTGATGGTCAGCCTGGTGCCAAGGGAGAGACTGGTGACTCTGGACCCAAGGGAGATCCTGGTGCTCCTGGACCCGCTGGACCCGTTGGAGCTGCTGGTCCTCAGGTGTGTTAGTCCAACATAATACACAATAATCCATGATGAATTTTATTTAGTCTCATAATCACAGAAACTTTTTTGATCATCAGTGGATTTTTGGGAATAGAAATCCTTTCGCAGGATGATGTTTACCTCAGTTTTTAAAGAAAATTGTTTCTCTAAACAGGGACCTGCTGGCCCTACTGGAGCTAAAGGTGCTCGTGGTGGTGCCGGACCCCCTGTAAGTATTCAGTGTGAGATTTCATAGTATGAGATGACACACTTAAAACATGGTCAAATAAGAGATATCAACAGTTTTTTTACCATCACATTTGTGTTTCTTTGTGTGTAGGGTGCCACTGGTTTCCCTGGTCCTGCTGGCAGAGTTGGACCCCCTGGCCCCTCTGTAGGTTTTATCATAAACCCATATTAAATTCAATCTTTGATGAGATCAAGGATTTTTCTCTCACTCTAACATTGCACCATATAATTAGGGAGCTGCCGGACCTCCTGGACCAGTCGGAGCTGTTGGAAAAGATGGACAAAGAGGAGCTCGCGGTGAGACTGGTCCCGCTGGGCGCCCTGGCGAGGCTGGTGCTGCTGGACCTCAGGGACCTGCTGGAGAGAGGGGCTCCCCCGGTAGTGATGGAGCTCCCGTGAGTGCTTGGTTTTCTTTTGGCAAACAGGTTTCTATTGTAAAATGTGTGCTCACTAAAAGACTGCTGTGCCCCTTTGTGGCAGGGTGCTTCTGGTATCCCCGGACCTCAAGGTATTTCTGGACCCCGCGGTATCGTTGGTCTGTCTGGACAGCGTGGAGAGCGTGGTTTCCCTGGTCTGCCCGGACCATCTGTGAGTATTCCTTGTGTTTGAATAGAGCAGTGCTACAGTTGTTCACCTCTTGAGCACAAAAGCTCCAGAAAAAAAAATGTCTTCCTTGTTAGTCTCCCCCTACCTACATAAACCCCACCACTGTTTTTCTTCAGGGTGAGCCTGGAAAGCAAGGAGCCTCTGGACCTGTTGGTGAGCGAGGTCTCCCTGGACCTGCTGGACCCCCTGGACTGTCTGGTGCTCCCGGAGAGGCTGGTCGTGAGGTATGAAGCCTCCCTTTTGCTGTGATGTGCTTCCCACACACAATAGTTGACATATATTCAGGACTAAATGGCACACAGTGATACACTGTTTACGCTGCTCCTCCACAGGGATCTACTGGTCACGATGGTGCTCCTGGTCGCGATGGTGCTCCTGGCCCCAAGGTAATCCTCTTCCACTGGTCTGATTTTATTATATATTTAGGCATGTTTTAACATGAGTTTCTCATTTTTCTGTAGAAAAATTGCATCAAATCTTTCTAAAATGAACTGGCCAGTATTGTCTAACTAGAAGTGTGCTCTCATAGGGAGACCGTGGTGAGAGTGGTATGGCTGGGCCCCCTGGACCTCCTGGTGCTCCTGGAGCCCCTGGTGGTGTTGGTCCCTCTGGCAAGACTGGCGATCGTGGAGAGTCTGTAAGCAACTACTGCTACGTTTTCACATCCTTTTTTTAAAGACATGACCAAATCTGTGCTATTTGTGGGTATTGACTAACCAAATTCTCCCTCTGTCTTTTAGGGTCCTGCCGGTCCTGCTGGTCCTTCTGGCCCCGCTGGTGCCCGTGGTGCTACAGTATGTTTTTCATTCCGTGATATAAATCAATCATTTATACAGAAGCCTTTAAAATGTTCTTATGTCTCAACGTGTGACTTTAATCTTTGTGTACATTCAGGGCCCTGCTGGTGGTAGGGGAGACAGAGGAGAGACTGGTGAGGCTGGAGACAGAGGACACAAGGGACACAGAGGACTGTCTGGCATGCCCGGCCCACCTGGATCTGCTGTGAGTTACTGTTAAAACTTGGTCCATTTCCAAAACAAATGGCAGCATCCATGGCTTTACACATGCGTTTAAGTAAATAATCGCTCAGCTGTATTCTCATTAAGAAACAGTGAAGTTCCATTTATTAAGTTCTTACTTATTCATAAATGGAAACTAGCTTAACCAAATTGACTTGTGGAGCGCATGACTTTTCTCAAGTGCATACTCAGTATTATTTCAGTATTATCAATAATGTTTGTTTCATCACTTGCTTTTAGGGAACTGCTGGAGAGAGAGGACCTGCTGGAGTCTCTGGACCTGCTGGACCTCGCGTAAGTAGATTGTTTTTCAGTATTAAGCCACATCACATAGCTATTTTAAGATGCACTCAAAAAATGAGCACATGACGAGTTTTGACATTAATAGATAAATAAAATGTGAATTGGCTGACATGAATGTAGATCAATTTGATGGACACATGAGCTAGACTCTGAGTTGGCAGTTGCCAGAAGTGGTCCAAATGTTGTCTTGAATTACTTTTACATTGGTTTAAGCATGGGTAGTGAGGACCAGACTTGCATCAAATGCCCTAAGAAAAATAATTGTATCATTGTATGTGGCTGAGTTTAGGCCCTCATAGTCACTCTGAGTCAACCCCATCATTCAAGAATGATGTTGGTACTCAATCAATGTTGACATTGTGCGATTCTTAATCTCAGTCATGACTGGAATAACCATCTGGGCTAATGTTTCTAACCAGTGATTATTTCCTTTTTATAGGGACCCTCTGGAAACAGCGGTGCTCCTGGCAAGGATGGCATGAACGGTATGCCTGGACCTATTGGACCCCCTGGACCTCGTGGTCGCAATGGAGAGATGGGACCTGCTGTAAGTTCCTATCTATCTTCATTTAATACACCCATTGCCTCTTCATGTGTGCTTGCGGTTGCTAAACCCCTGGTGTTTAAACACAGGGCCCTGCTGGACCCCCCGGACCCCCTGGACCTCCTGGACCTCCCGGCAGTGGAATTGAGTTCATCAGCCAACCCATTCAGGAGAAGGCACCCGATCCCATGCGTGGTGGGTACCGTGCAGATGACCCCAACATGATGCGCGATCGCGACATGGAGGTTGACACCACCCTCAAGACCCTCAGTCAGAGAGTTGAGAAGATCCGCAGCCCCGATGGTACCCAGAAGAGCCCCGCACGCATGTGCCGTGACCTGAGGATGTGCCACCCTGAGTGGAAGAGCGGTGAGTGGGGATCCGTCCATTACAGAGAAAAACTGAACGTGACAATGTGCTCAACTGGACTCTTTTTTGTGCTCCCCATTCCAGGCATGTACTGGGTTGATCCCAACCAGGGCTCTCCCCTTGATGCCATCAAGGTCCACTGCAACATGGAGACTGGAGAGACTTGCATCCACCCCAGCGAGTCCAGCATCCCCATGAAGAACTGGTACCGCAGCAAGAACATCAGAGAGAAGAAGCACGTCTGGTTCAGCGAGTCCATGACCGGTGGATTCCAGGTGAGAAGGCATTTAAAAAATCCCTTGACTGTTTTTCAGGTTTTACATTCAAACCAGTGACACCACTCATGCCTTGCCTCTCTTGATCTCGCAGTTCCAGTATGGCAGCAGTGAGGCCGACCCCGAGGATGTCAGCATCCAGATCAGCTTCATGCGCCTGATGTCCAACCAGGCCTCTCAGAACATCACATACCACTGCAAGAACAGCATTGCCTACATGGATTCTGCCACTGGCAACCTGAAGAAGGCCCTGCTTCTCCAGGGCTCCAACGACGTGGAGGTCAGAGCCGAGGGCAACAGCCGCTTCACATACAGCGTCAGCGAGGATGGCTGCACGGTGAGTTTGCTTTCTGATTGGCGAGCATCTTGTGTTTACGGACACATCCCCTGTTTTCGAACTGAAGGGCAGTTTTTAATGTTTTCTACTTTTTGTTTTTCTCCACAGTCACACACTGGCACATGGGGCAAGACAGTCATCGACTACAAGACATCAAAAACATCCCGCCTGCCCATCATTGACATTGCTCCTATGGATGTTGGTGCACCTGATCAGGAATTTGGCGTCGAAGTTGGCCCCGTCTGCTTCTTGTAAAAATGAAAGAAACATGGACATGACGTTGTTGTTTTTTTTCTAGCAGTCATCTCTAAATCCTTTTTTCTATGCAATCAAAACTCATTCGGCTGCCATTGGTCCACATGCTTTAAAACCACTCTACTGAAGACGGTGTTTGTACTTTTACAATCATGAGAAGTTTTTGGGACTGCTACTTCAACTGAAACCAACCACGAGGACACTTTAAAAAGAATCTTTTGTTTCCACTGGCAACAAGAAAATAATATATACTTGTGTAAATTTCCCCCCTGGAAATTGAGAAAAAAAGGCCGACACACAATGAAACACAGGTGACTTTTGCCATTTTCTACAACTGCAGAAGGACATTGAAAGCAACAAATGATATGTACCATCTTTCTGGTGTTAAATAAATTGTAAAAAGTGTGAAGTGTCTCCTTGATCTCAAATCACAAAAGATAAAAACATCTGAATCCTGGTAAAAGTAAAGTCAAAAGCAGCAATAGAGCAAGATAGATAAGCTTACCTTCATTGCAACATGTAGATGGCTACCTCGTAAGTCACCCCCTATTTTTCTTAGATGAAAAGGATATCCTATAGACAACAAGCCTTAGGGGGAAAATTAAACATTTAATGGTGCTATTACCACTACCATGAGGTCTAGTTATTGGTATGTGATGGTGAGACTCTCACTGTCATTCTGTCATCTTTGCCACTAATGCCTGCAGAACTTTGGTGCTACAAAATTGTCTTGTTGTCGATGAAGTGCAATTTTTTCTTCTTTAAGTGTTGGTTTGATAACCGAGGCCCTCTGAAAAAGGTCATCACTACAAATGTAATGCAATCATGTCTATGTAGATAAAAAGCAAGTGACTTCTGGTTCAATTACACTGCCCTGCCTGTGTGTACAGTGTACATCCTTCTGTCTGTCTGCCCCTGTGGAAAACTCCTCTTCATTATAAACAAAAAAACAGCACACTTCTCCCACCCTGTTGTTTATGTTATTTGTTGATGTCTTTTTCGCGAAGGGTTTCTTAAAAAAAAAAAATTGAAGCAGACCCACTTTCATGGTTTAAAAGAGAGATTCTGTACTTATTTTGTACATGTATAATAAATCAAGATGTTTTTAATTATTTTGGGTGCTGAAATAAAGCATGTGAAGTGGTCTACACAGTGCCAGAGTTTTCACTGTTCTGTTTGGCAACTGTTGTGAAACTGAAGTTTCATAATTCAGAAACTGCAACTTGCACTGAAGATGTGTGTCATATCTTTACAAAGCAAGGTCTTTGGTATAAAAAAAAGATACATGAACATTTGTGAATCAACTGTTCCACAACAGTTGCACTGAATACAGAGTTAAACAGTGAAAACAAGGCGATATTAGAGTCCAACATTTAGATTCAGTATCTCCACACATAAGAGCAACTCAGTGTGGAGTTCCTTCTGAAGCCAGACAGAAAACTTTAAATTTTCCACTTATAGTTGTTAAATTCAAAAAGGGTTCACAGGAATTTTGGATAGAAGATTTTGAGCCACTGTCTGCCCTGAAAAACGGATAAGGCTCCGAAGCGCCTCCTTGAGGATAACAAGTGCAACTGCTGGCTCCAAAAAGGCAGCCATGAAAAGTTAAGAAACATTTTGCTAAACAGGCTCACTGATCTCAGATCACACTTATACCTTTGCTATGTAGAGGACGAAGGCAAACTATTTTTGTCTACTGTCAAATTTGTAGGAGGACTGGCCAAGATTGCTCAATTGAATGCAAATGTGTGGTTGTTTGTCTCTGTGTGACCCTGCGATGGACTGGTGACCTGTCCATGGTATTGGTATCCCGGCTCTCACCCGTTGTCAGCTGGGATAGGCTCCAACCTATGTCTGGAAGGTGTTAATGCCTCTCTTTCATTTACCAATTCAAAATGTCTGTAAAGGGGTTAAAAGGAAAGGATTTCATTTTTACAGATCTTTTCAAAGATTCCTTGGTCCATGTGAGTTTGTTTTCCCTTTTCAAAGGCAGGTTTGTTTCATCGCATCTGCATTTGTTCTAGCCAGTTTTGAATTGTACACTGTAAGGGCATTAAGAGAGGACCAATTTACTTTGAAAATGAAGATTCTCTCTGGCAAAACCCCGCCTCAGTTTTGCTGAGGGTGCAGGAGCAGAGCATTAATAGCTGAACTGGTCACAACACGGTGTTGCTCAACTTTGACATTAAAGGAAGTAAAAAGGGCAAATAAACTGCAGAAAACAATTTGAGAAACAGCACACTTTTAATTTATTCAAATCAAACCAAAAGCAGCAGATCAAATGAAATCCCACAGTGAACATAGAACCACGCTCAGCTGCAATGCGTATAAACTCAAAGGGATTTCATCCATTGTCGAAGTCACTCTCTGTAAGCACAGACATTATGAGGATGACTGGGGTCACTGAAGGCACAAACTACGTGAACACGATCCAGCGGTTTACCTGGGCAGCGTGTCACTGTAGGGATCACTGTGAAGAAATCAGAAAACAAAAAAACACTTCAAGAGAGTTGAAAAAAGACAATGTCAGAAACATTAACAGTTTATTCGATATGTACTTTCTGAAACGATCTTAGTGGAGCAACAATGAATTGATTTAATCATTGTATTGATGGGTGAAAATCTAATTGAAACTTAACCCTGAACAGAAACAAAAAGGAGCTATTTAGCCATGGCAACAAGACCTAGCACATGTATCTTGCTTTTAAAGTTTGGCATCTTCGAAATGACCAGAAAATGTTTAAAAAATCATTTTCAAAGATATATAGCTGATTGATTTAGGAGTATTCCAGCTCTGTGACGGCTTGTTCATGTGGACTGAAACACAGTGTTGTTACTATGGTTTGGCCTGTATACTTAGAAAACTGTGGATCGTGGTGCTTACTGCTGGGCCATAATAAGGGGGATGCTGTCAGACTGCAGGGGTGAGGCCCTCTCCCCCGTCCGGCTGTTGAACATGGGCAGCGTTGACAGAGGTGGGGACGCCCCTCGGGTTCCAGCCATGGCCCTCAGCTCATCCGTGTTGTCGTGAATGGTGTGGTGGTGGTACAGTTGAATTCTGCAGCGCGCGGAGCATCGATATGGTTTGTTAGTCTGCATAAAATCTAAAAAACGACTGATCTAATAACAATGAACGTCAGAGTTTACTCACTGGTCTGTTCTTGCATTCCTTTTCACCCTAGAAACAAAAAGGTAAGAAGGCGTTTTAATATCATATACGGCAAGAATCCACCTACTTCTTGTTGGAGAGAAAAAAAAGCTCTGTTTTGTATTTCTTCGTTGGGTTGGAGATAGATACACACACTCCCTCTCGTCGGCCGAACATGATGTAGGCCAGCAGCACACACAGGACGATGGCGAGGACCAGGGGCACGATCACCGTCACGACGTAGTCCGGGAAGAAGTCTCTGCCCGGGGGAGACTCCGGAGGGTCGAAGTCACCTCCCGACTCCAAGATGCCCGAGCCCATCGTGGGAGCAGGTGGCTCCGGCTCCGCCTTGGTCAGGTCAAACTGCAAGAAGAAGCAGCAGGGGCACAGACTCTGAGCACGTACACGAACAGATGGCGGGATTTTCTTTGTGTCAGTTTAAACCGACTCAGATGCACTTCAAATTCTTTTCAGATTTTTTGGTATACTGTATACTAACTTCGTCTATAGCTCTGGTTTGCACAACAGCTAGTTGTTGATCAGAAAATGCTTTAATCTATTAATTTCCTTTTAAGTCCTTTGGAAAAATCAAGTTATAAATACATAACACGTCAAGATGAGGTTAAACATCAGTGTTTTCCCATAGTTTGCTTCAGCCTGCGACTCAAGTGTGTGATTGATAAAGAACACTCCTCATGGATCAACCGTCTAAGTCAGGAACGATGGATGCCATGAAAAATGAGCCAATAACACGTAAAGATGAGGTTAAACATCACAATTCGGCCCAGAATTTTTCATACTGACCTGCAGAGAAACAAAAATCTACCTGCGACTCAAGTGTGCGATTGATAAAGAACACTCCTCATGGATCAACCCTCTAAATCAGGAACGATGGATGACATGAAAAATGAGCCAATAACACGTAAAAATGAGGTTAAACATGAGTGTTTTCCCATAGTTTGCTTCAGCCTTTCTCTCTACATGTCAAAGCCACCAAAATAATAAACTCAGATGACAAAAAAAGGAGTGTCTGCTGCCTTTTTTTCAGGCCTCACCAGCTCCGTCTTGCACCAGGTGATGCAGTTGCTGGGATTGCTGCAGAAGCTGCATCCTCCGGGAACCTTCACTCTGGCCCCCGGGGCGCACTGCCTCTGGTGCTCTGGGGTCTGCACCCTCAGGAGACACTTGGAAAAATACTTCTCCGACCCCACCTTCACGTACACGCTGAAACAAATCAGATATTAATAAACACCGAGAGACGTTTGTTTCAATGCAAAGTTTTGAACGGGTGACTGTTTACCCCTCAAAATGTCCTCCGATGGGGAGGGGAACTCTGCCCCCGCGGTCGAGGGCGTTGGTGATATTGACAACCTGCAAGGCCTCCGTGTTCCACAGCTTCTGCAAATCCTGTTTTATCTCATTCTGAACAGGAGAGGGCAGCACCTTTTCAATCTCCCTCAGCGGGACGAAGACCTCCGCTTGATAGGGCAAAATCTTCTCTGTGAGGGACAGGAGAGATAGCTGACCACCCTTTTTCTCCACTTCTTATTTCATCTGATAGCCAGATTCATTGTAACCATCACTGTACGGAGCGAAGCAACTTACCTGGAATCACTTTGATCACGAGAGTAAATCTGAAGGTGTCGTAGTCTTGTCTGTTGATGACATTAATCTGCAAGAAAAAGACACCACGTTTACAATTACACCAAGAAAATTCCAAGCTCTGAACCTTACAGAATTCAAGAGGGTTTTCGGCCTTTGATGAAAAGTAGCGAATACATTTAAATGAGTCAGGTACTTTGAACATTTTCAAGGATGCATTAACTCCCTGATATCTGGCTTTTTCAACATTGACTTGGAACAAACAGCCAAAAAAAATCTGTTTCATTAAAATGAGTTTTGCATGTAAACTGTTGATTCTTTTTTGTTTCTCACACAATTTTACTGCATTCAGTATTGAGCCTGTCTGATTGTTGTGAAAACCTCAAACCTCAATCAAATTTTTCCCCGGTGAGGTCGGCGTGCCATACAGGAAGCCGTCATCGTATGGGTTCCTCTGGGTGAAACGCAGCCACTCCGGGAGGTCTGGGAAATTCTGCATTTTGCACTTAAAAATAATGGGGACGTCATTCCAACGTTGAGCTGCGTAACATGAAAAAAGATTTTTACTTGTAGACGTTTAGATTATTATTATTTTTTTGTGGATACACCATGTCGTGAGCTCACTGTAAATTCTCGATGAAGATTCAAAGTCATTCCGGAAGGTCTCTCTCATCAGCTCATAAGTAAATAACCTCCCCACGGGAATGGTGATCTCTGCATTGGCCCCAAACAGGATGACAGCACAGCCTGTGTGGAGGAGTAAAAATCCAGCAAGAATATGAATGACTCACCAGGAAAGTTAAACGGTTCCACTGATCCCTTAAAGAATGACCCGTGAATTTGACCCCGCACTGCCCTTCATGCCCTCGTCTTGTCCATCTGAAGCCCAGATTTTCAAACACGGGGCTAAAACTAAACCACGTGGGCAAAGTGGCGTGTTTAAATCGTTCGAAGCTGAATAGTTTGAGGGATAAACTTGCCTGTTAGAAACAGCCAGCTCCCGCAGCCTGCCATCTTGTTTTGGGCTTTGATTGACAGAGCCAAGTGGAGAGGGGCTTGGCCACACAAAACATGTCAGAGCTATTTTAGCCTCACTCACCTAATAACATCCGGAGGGGCGTCTGTCTGCTGTCAGGCTTATTATTCCCTCTTGTAATATAAAATCAAACACTTAGGGTATGGGTGAATAAACACTTACTCAGGGCTTTATTGACACGTTGGGCACTTTACTTGCCCTCCCTTGACAATTTTATTCTGTAATGTTGCAAATTACAGTTCCAGTGCAGTACAAGAAAAGAAAGACATACCACAGACTCACAACGTTGTTGTTTAAATGGCCATTTTGTCTCTTGAGTTAAAGCTCTCTGAAATGACTGTGCTTAGTTTAATGTGCTAAACCCTGTGCCCCTTTCCCACTGCCTCACACTTACATAAACTTCTTCAACCTTTTTTCTAGAACAGCTCTCTAAGAGTGCACGTTGTGCCATGGTCAGCACCGAAATTTTGCAATTTTAATGGAAGTGATCCGGATCAAAATTTAATGGGCTCTCTGCATCTGCTCATGTCGCACCTCTCCAGAGAGATTCTCACAATTCAGCCCAGAATTTTTCATACTGACCTGCAGAGAAACAAAAATCTACCTGCGACTTAAGTGTGTGATTGATAAAGAACACTCCTCACGGATCAACCCTCTGAATCAGGAACGATGGAAGACACTAAATCTCAAGCCCATGTACTACATAATAGGCAAAATGATAGAAGAAGAGTGTTGCTTTTTGTTATTGAGTGCTGGTTTATTAAAAAAACTTCATGGTGCTATTTTTACGGTTTAATAGTTTGCCTCATCTATATACATTTTGTCAAATGGGAGCTGATGGATAGGTGTTTAACTTAATTTTATAATTAAATAAACATAAGTTGAGAGGAAAAAATATGCAAAAAAAACCCTATCATTTAGTGATTGAAGTCTTTACATTGCTCTCCTATGGCTACAATTTGAACACGACCCAGGTGGCACTACTTCTTGAAAATGGAAGCTGCTATATCGAGGTGACTTTATCAGGTTCACTGTCAGCAGTATCAAGACAATGCAAATGGAAGAGGGTCTCTTTTCTGTTGATGAAACTGTATAAAAGTGTAGGCCTGGCCATGCAAACAGCCGCCTGAAACCACCGTGGGAAACCGGGACCCCGCTGATGGGTTCACAGCCCAAGAAAACAGGGGAACTCTTTGTCTGCTGTCAGAAACATTATTTAATGCATCTGTCAGCGCAGATGCAGAATGCAGGAAGCAGCAGTGTGGCCTGCACGTTCCGGACCTGCTATTGGCCGGCTGGGATTGACGTGAGCGTAAATTTCGTTGGGTCCTAAAGATGCTGTTCACCTCACTGTGTGATGGCCCGGGACCACCAGCTTTTAGAAACCAATGGAAATGGACTACTTTTAATTTTGGTGTAGATATGAGTTCTCTTTTTTTAATTTATCATTAAGAGTTAGAATAAGTATTTTGGGTCTGCTTTGATTATTTGGCACAACATTGGTGTGATACAGGAAGAAAGAACCCTCACAGGTGGATCGTTTAGGGGTTTTTGCTTTTTTTAAAGGGTTCAAATGTCAATTATTTTATCATTTCTACTCGACAAGCGACTTGACGCGACAATTCTGGCCTTTTTTGTTTTGTTTTGTCTGAGGTGGCAGAACGCGCTTGCCATGCGTTTTTTTGGAGCGAACTAGAGTAGGGCGCTAGGGCGGGGGGGGCGGGGGGGGGGGGGGGGGGGGGGGGGGGGGGGGCGGTCTGCTCCATGCAGCAGCCGCTACCGGAGCAGCAGAAATCTGCAGCTCTCAGAATGAAGACACCCGAGCGATGCCGCCTGTGAAGAAGAGGGATTAAAAAAAAACACAAAAAAAACGGAAGCAACCTGTCGTCATTTGGGGGTAAAAATCCGCCGCTCCCCCTCTGCACCTCTTCTCTCTTTCCCATGCAAGTATTTCCAACAAACAGACGCAGTTGATCGCGGGGGGGTTGGGGGGGTAGCGTTGCTTTTGCATCCGTGTGGCTGCAGGGAGAAGCCAGTGACAGATGCACGGTGCTGCACCGGGGAGGAGAATTGCAGTGGATGCGCGCGCGCGCGCGGGCCTCTAACGCCATCCGTTGTTTGTTGCTTCTCCACCTACCCCCCCCCCACACACCCACCCCCCCAGGTTCGGGTCGAGGGGGCGCCACCTCCCCTGGAAATCGGCTCCCGGCGGACGATAGGGATTTGCCCGTGGGAGAAGACATGCCGCCGCTGGGCAGCCGCTGACCGACCATGATGAAGACGGAATCCACATCCAAGAGCGCCGGACCGGGCCCCGGACCCGGACCCGGTTCCGGGTCGGGCTCCACGCTCCGGAGCCCGTCCCCGCACAGGAACGCCTACGAGGCCGGGATGCAGGCCCTGAGGCCGGTCAAAGACGGAGCCGCCAACGGGGGCCTGCAGGAGGGGCCCCGGGGCCGCAGGTACGGCTCCAACGTGCACCGCATCAAGAACATGTTCCAGCAGATGCAGACCACGGCCCCGGCCGACGCCGAGGCGGGGGGGACCGAGCCGGACGGCGGCTGCAGCAGCAGCAGCAGCAGGAGCGCGGACAAGTCCTCCGTGCGCCTGTCCCTCCCCAGGGCGGGCAGCCTGAACGAGAACGTGGACCACAGCGCCCTGCTCAAGCTGGGCTCCACCGTGTCCGAGCGCGTCAGCAAGTTCGACCCCAAGGCCGAGAACGGCCACCAGCGGACCCCGTCCCCCAGCTACTCCAAGCTGCAGGAGACGCGGCGCATCTTCGAGCAGCAGCAGCAGCAGGAGAAGCTGGCCACCACCAGGGTGCTCCTGAAGACCGACAAGGCCTCGGGCTTCCAGGACGGCCGGCTGGACGTGGTGGCCCGCTTCAACGGCAGCACCGAGTCCCTGGACAGCCTGGACGCCGGCGAGGCCGTGTCCCCCACCGTCAGCCAGCTCAGCGCCGTCTTCGAGAGGGCGGCCGAGCTCCGGAACAACCTCCACCGCCTGTCCTCCACGCCGCCGCTGCCCTCCCGGGGGGTCAGCGCCAAGGTGGGGGTGCTGAACTCCAAGATCATCACCAAGAGGGCGGGCGCCCTGGCGTCGGGCGGTCAGGAAGAGGAGTCTGGCCGCCAGAGGGGCCAGGAGGCGCCTCCCTCGAAGGGCGCCAGGGGGAGGGCGGCGCCCCCGTCGGACGGCCTCAACGGGGGTCAGGTCGCCGGTCAGTGCGTCCCGGCGTCTGGACGTTCTTCTGCCGGAGGGGGGCCCGACGAGCAGAGGGAAAAGACCGTGTCCAACGCCGGGGTCCAGGCCAAGGCCGAGGTCAGGCACGAGGTCAGCGCGGGGGACGCCGCCGTTTCCGTGGAGAACGGCGGCGAGGCCCCCGACGAGAAGCGAGGCGGCCGGCAGGGCCAGGGGGACGGCGTCCAGGAGGAGGTGGACGAGGAGGTGGACGACGGCGGCAGGACTCTCAGAGACGAGCTCTCGGGCCGCGACTCGGTGGACATCAGTGCCTACAGCGCGGTGGGGGAGGACTTGGAGGGAAGCCAGAGGGACGAGGACGAGGAGGTGGACGAGGAGGCGGACGAGGAGGCGGATGACCGCTACGAGCCCGAGTCCAGCTGCGTGGAGATCACGGGGCTCCCCGCCGAGGAGGACCCGCCCCCCTCCAGGAAGATCCGCTTCAGCTCGGAGCCCATCAAGGTGAGGAAAAAACACACCCAGGTGGGCGGGAATAATTACCCCCCCCCCTGACAAAAAAATAAAAAGGCGAGAAAGTCTTTCTCTCGCCATAATAATCCCCGAGCCATTGTTATTTAGTGTGATTAAGCCCGCGGCGGCGGGCTGGTGTGGGATTTGTTTGTGTAGAGGACTTGACCTCGGGGGCTTATCTGCCGTGCTACAGTCAGAGCCGGGGCTTTTGTCAGCTTTTTTTTTTTTTTTTTTTTTAATGAACTCACTCAGCTTCTTTCTCTGTCGGACAGATGCTGACATTTTGATTTGACTGTCTGTCAACGGCTTTTTTGGCTTTCGCAGCTCTGCCTGCACCCTCTCCCTCTCCCCCCCCCAGCAGCTCGGCCCCCTGCATTCCTACCGTGCGTCCGGCGGGGTCACTATCCTTTTTTTTGCTTTGGTCAGTGACTGTTGACGGAGGGGGGGGGGGGGAAACGAAAGGGCCCAGATATAGGTGCCCGGTGGAAAATGGAGTGCTTTTAGGTGTGTGAGGAGGACAGGGGAAGTGAAGGGGAGAAGGGGGAAAAAAAAAGAAAAAAGAGTCTGTGATCTCCTTTTGGACCAGTGAGATGAGAGGAGAGAGGACAGAAAAGGAGGAGGAGGAAGAGGAGGAGGAAGGAGAGTGGATTCAAAGTGTCGCCCCGTGTTTGGCGGCGGCGCGGTGATCCAGAGAGGAGCATCCGATTCTCCCCGGGCTCGGCTCTGCCCGGGAACCCGGAGCCGGGGAGAGCCAAAGCGGGCCCTGACGCTCCGCATCACACGCACACACACACACACTAACACACACACACACACACACAGACACGCACACACACACGCCCTCTCGTTGTAAGCCATCTCTTTTTCACTGACTAAGTGCTCCTGTCTCTTATCACCACCACTCAGGTCAAGAGTTGCTTTTTGCTATTTCCTCATAGCTGCACAGTGTCCGGTAGAGTTTCAGTCACGGTGGGAATCACATTTCACAGTATGAGACAACGGACTGCGGTCAAATCGGACAACAGAAATGAGATTCAGCAACAGCAGATAGCGGAACCCATTATTACCACTTTCAGAGTAGTTAGCTTTTACCTATTTTTGTTGTGCGATAGGCAGTTTCAACAAATTCAAAACCACTAAAATGCTAAGAAGTAATAAAAGTAAATGAAATGTGTAAATAGGGCTGTGGGGTTCTTGGAACAGGCAATTTGGGATGTTTTGTTTAAAATAAGTTGCCATGATGTGTGACTATGGAGACAAATAGTTCAATATATGCTGCTATTTTCAGTGGTGCGGACAGAATACGTATTAGCATAGTTGGTTTTGTTGTTTTAGTTTGGGAAGAAGATCCCTCCATGAAAGTTCATACGCAGAAAACAAACTGCTGAGCGCACTGCTTTCCTAACAGAAGCATTCCGCAGCTAAACGCATGTAAATCGGACTCCGTTTATGCTGGTATTGACGGCATTAAAAGGCGGTGGAAAAAAAGGTCCTAACTTATTGGCTTTGATGGAGAGCGGAATATGGCCGGGGCTCCGCAACCGTCTCTGGAGAATAACCTCCCATTGACTCCTTTCATACTGTATCAGTGTGGTCTTTGTTATGGAGATTGATGTGAAGGGTGGATGAGAGGGAAAAAAGGGAGGGTGTGAGGTCAAATGGGAGGGGCCTCATTATGCAGCTCAAATGTCATGCCACTGTGTGTGACTGCCAGCCCTTAAGTTGCACTGTCACCCGGCTTCTCCCCTCCAAACAGGAAGTGGCCATTTTTAGTGCATATTTCCCCCTCCGTGCAACAATTCGGCTTTTAGCCACAGAGGAGGCTTGTGGTGGCAGCGTTTCTCAGTCGCAGGCCTTTCTTTGTCCCCCTTTTTTTGGGCGCTCCTCTCTGTCTGTCTGCCTGTATCTGTGAATGGCAAAAAATAGCTCTTCTGCTCTGGGTAGAGTTCACACCAGACGCCTGTGTTTGCTCCCCCTGACACTCTGTCTTCGCTCCTTCTTTTTTTCCTTTTTTGCTTTTCGTCACCAGGCTGCCGCCGTTTGTAAAAATAGCAGCATTGTTACCATCAGAGACTCGCCTCGCTTTTGACGGCCGCCCCCCCCTCGTTGAACACAGGAAGCTGCCTCTCATGTCTTATTTATTTTGCTTTCGCTTGTTTCTTTTGGCTTAATTCTCCCAGCTCGCTCGCTAACAAAACACTCGGGGACGTTTTGGGATGTAACCCTTTCGGCAAGTTTGGCTTTTGAATTATTTCTCCCGCTGTGCCGGAGAGCTTTCTGTTTAAAAAAAGGAGATAATCTCCAATGGATTTGAGCTGTACTCTCTCCAAACCAGAAACAATCAGATTTATTTTTCATGCACCACAATCACCTTGCTCTCTCCTCACCTCGCCCCCCCACCCCCCCTTCCGCCCCATCACCAAACCCACATTCACACTCTCAAACATGCGAAGAAGATCTTTGAATTCGTTTCACACTGTGTTAATTAGAGAAAAAAAGCTGTTCTTAGATTTCAGTGAACGAACATAGTTGAATTTTTTCAAACATATTTGGAGGAATAGCTCTTTTAAAGGTCTCAAGACTGGAAAATGCAAAAAACAAACACCAAATTCAGCTTTCTGAGATTTGTGGGAGTCACACATCGGTCAATTAGGGAAAACCCAAAAGTGGCAGCACATTACCGCACGCCATCCCATCCTGGAACCGGCCGGTCACTCCTGACCGGAGGCGTGCAGCCCCCTCGTGCTGGACATTACTCACAGCCAGGAGACGGTGGGAGAGCAGACAGATTATCATCAGCAAGGTCAGGCCGTCCCACTTCTCAGTCCTGCGGCGCTGCGTTTGCAGACGTCCGTGCGCGACGTGCACTCGCTCAGGTTACTGCGACAGGCCGCGTTACGCAACGCCCGGCCCGCGATGCCCGAGCGCCGCCCCGTCCAGACGCCATCTACGCCGAAAAACTGCCGACTCGGCTCAAAGCTGGGGCTGCAGGGCTACGCTGACCTTCCGCTTCTGTCGTTGAGATGTTTGACTTTTTGGGGGGACTTTGTAGAGCCGTTCCAGCTTTAGTCGTGCTCACACAAATGTTTCAGATTTAATCTGTGTTGGACAGTTTGAATTGGAATTATTTGACATATTTCCACTTTAAAATTGGACAGGAAACTAAAATGCACTTATGGGAATTCGGACGTCTGATGAATGTTACGAAACACGAAGAAAGAGAAAAGGAAAGGTATCTTTTTTGGGGGCATTTTCTGTTTGCATGGCATTGTTGCTCTTTTAGCAGCATAGACCTCGACAAGGAGGTAAAATGATTGTCTCACGGAGCTGCTGTTGGTGCTTCTCACATCTGTTTCATTGTTGGAAGGCACTGCTTTTGCTTGTTAGCAGACTTGAACTCTTTCAGTAAGCTAGGTAAGAATCTGTGTGACCCTTGGAAGGAAATGAAAACACCTGCCATGGCTAATCGGAGCCAAAATAATTCACAATATTTAACATCATTTTGGCTAATACCTTTAAAAAAAAGAAAAAGAAAAGAGGAGTGGGCTAAAAGAGAATCTTTAACTGTATTAAAGTGGGTCAAAAAACAATTCAGAAAAACCTATAAAATCTAATAAACTATAAGAAGACGACATATAGCTGTCCAGTACAGTTGTTGTGGCAATGCGGTGGGACTTAGTTCTGCAGCTGACCTTGTTTTCATGCTGCTGTGCTCTCCCCAGGGTCAGCGCTCATCACAAACCTGACCACTGACCAAAGGGTGTCTTGCCAAAACACATTGGCTTTGATGCCAGGGGGGCGGTAGCTATAATGAAGCTTTCATATCCATTTTATTGGCAACAGAAGATTGGCCCAACCTCACGGCAGGGCGAGGCCAAATCCTTATTTTTCTGTGTGCGTGTTGCACATCTGGAATCTGGATTAACGCCACCGTTTTTGGAGGATTTAGAAGCAGTGGCCTTACCTGCGGGGCAAACGCGAAAAAATTGAGTTGCGATTTAATTCTAAAGGTGAGAAAATGCCTAATATGCCCTAACAAAAACGACTTTAATATGCATGCTGATCCTTTAAGAGGAACATGAGAATGCCTCTTTCGGCATTTAAGGTGGAAAGGGAGGATAAGAGAGAATCCACATGCCCAGTGAAAGAAGTCTGGAGGAAAATGAAGAAAAAGCAAACAATGGAAAGTTGGTCTCTGCAGAGTGCAGAGAAAGTGGAAAACACACTATTTCTGCACCACCTCCACACACAAACACACACACACACGCACATTCTGTTGGCTAAATCCAAAATTAGATCTGTTTTGGAGTCCAGAGGGGAAAGAAACACAGCAGTTGACACGCAGCTGTGGGCAGTGGGGGATTGTGGGTGGGGGTTGCAGCCTCGCTAGCGTGCTGTCCGGCCGCGGCCGGGTCATCGCTGACCCCCACCGGATCAGAGCAGCTCCATCTCCCTCTCACGAACTAACGGCGCTGAAAAATGGTGGTCGTCACTCACTGCCCGCTTTTAATACCCTTCGCTGTTCCAAGTGCGGGGGCTCTTTATAGTCACACACACAATCTGCTGGTAAGTGGCTCTGGATAGCTGGCCCACAGAGCTTTTGTAGGACATCCCAGACTGCTGGTAGCAGAGGGAGGGTGGGAGGAAGGGAGTTTCCTGGCCATCTGTTAGCTTCTCTGACCTACTATCTGCCACAACTGGAACAGCGTCCTTCTCCAGCCTCACCCGCCGCCCCCCCCCCCTCCACGGCTCTGCCTTTAATCCCAATGTTTGTCTTGCAAAGGCATCCGCCATCCCTTCTGTGGGCTTCATCTAGAAGCCTACGTGTGTAAGTAAGGCTGGGTCAGAGGTCACATCATGCAGGATCCCAATTAGACCGTCTGACCCATGTTGGTTTTTAAAGTCAAGGGGGGGAAGGAGTGGCACACTGGTGTCAAAGAGAGCACGCTGCTGTTGTTTCATCCTCTGCAACATGTGACTGAAACCATTCTGTTTTCTGTCTCTAATCCGTTTTCTATTCATCTGTCTAAATACAGGTAACCTAAATCATAAACAGCATTGCTCCCATGATGTCATATTAAACAGTTTTTGCTCTACTGCTAGATTTAGATTAATTTGTTTGTTTTTTTTGCCAGAATTTTAAAATGTAAACTTATTGGCAGTTTTGTTTAGTTAGATAGAAAAAACCTTCACCACCATCAAGATTGCTGAGTAAATATGGGGCTGTTCCAAATAATGATTAGCATAGCTTAGCCTAACTTTACGTAGCTTAACGTAGCTTAGCTTGATATAGCTTAGCTTAGCTTAGTTTAGCAAAGGACTGGAAACACCGGCAATGTACTTTTTTTTTTATTTTTGTGTTTATTTGCTAATTTCAGTTGTTCCTAGAAGTCAAAGTCTACAGGTAAAATAAGAATTTTCCTCTAGTATGAAATGGAAAAACTTTTAGATGGTTTCTATGGCATAAATAGATGGTAAAAATCAACATGATTCGGATGGTTACTTCTTTTTATGATTCTGTCTGGACAGCATCATCACTGAAACAGACAATCACATACACAGAGGGAGGATTTTCCATCTGATTTAACCTTCTTTGGAAAGTCACTTAGCTTTTCTGCTTTTCTGTTTTTAGAGAGTGTAGCTGCTAAAAACCATTCAGTCTACAGACCAAAACAGCCACAGGGATTTTCTGCTCATGCTACCACGGCAACGACTGAAAGCGATATTTAATATCTTCGCTAATATTGCACAGCAGAAGGGCCTGTTCGATATTAATGAGCGCTCGCAAATAAAACATTTCCATTAGCGCTGACGGTATCATTTCTTATTATGATGGCGTCTTTGGGAAGCACCTGTCTGGTTTTTATAAGAGTTTCTTAGTCATATGTCACAAATATTCAAATGCTACCATGTCAGTTCAGTCATCCCTCATTTGACTTGCCTCTAAAAATGAGTTGGCATCTGAACCTTACTCGCACGTGTATGCACGCACGACAGGAAGTCCCGATAAGTCAGAGACGCCATTTAGCCGTTTCCCTGATTACAGCTGAGCCCGATGAGCTGACTCTGCTGCCTTTCCCTTCGTCGCTGTTGTTCTGTGGGTTTAAGACTGTAAATCTCATAGCGTGAGACGGACAGAGTCCGATTGGTTTCTCAGATCTTGAAAAGCTGCCAGAGACAAAAGCATTGTGAGACAGCACAACAGATACAGAGATGAGAGAACATTAAAGCAACTCTAGATTTCTTTAAAAAGAATAGGTACAGCACTAATGTGGTTTAAAAAAACAACTCTAACTTATTTTCTTATAGGCAAGAAAAACTCAAAAGTAGAACCAAAAGCTTTTAGCAGGGATGCATGAAAATAAAAAACATTTCATTTTATTTTTGTATTTCAGAGGGGCTGTCAAAACTGACAACTCTTTACTGTGGGGTTGCCTGGGAAACGGGGGGCCCACACTGTATGGCTGAAGAGCATCAATAAAGCCTCAAGATGGTCATTTTTTAACTCATTTATCCAAGTCAAGGAGAAGGGCTGGAGGAGATAAAAAAAAGCATGAAAATTTGGCGGTCCAGGAAACAAACGGGAGAGAAAAGTTAAGAAAATGTCCTCAAACGTAAGAGGGGAATGTCCGAGAGAAGTAGCCCCGTTGAATTAGTGGAGCTAGTGGAGCGTGCAGGGTGCCGCATACATAATTACTCAGGAAGACTGAAAGTGAGGCTTTTAAAGATTCAGCCTACTCTGTGAGTGTAGGTGTGTGTGGCTGTGTGTGTGTGTGTGTGTGTGTGAGACCACCAGGCAGCAGCTGCAGAAGGCCTCCATTAGCATGCAGGAGGAGGTTATGTAAACTGTCATGCTGTTGGGCCAGAATGAATGTGGGAAGTCGGGCCTCGAAAAACAGAGGCCTCTGTCTTGGTGAGAGCTGTGATTGGTTTTCTTCCCCCTCGTGTGTTTCGGTTACCGCTGGGCAACGATACCCGGAGGAAAGGCCGTGGCCGTCCCCCGTTGGAACGGTCAACACGGCTTGATTGCATTACGGCCGCATTAAAGCCGGCGGTCGGCTCTTATCAAAGCGTGGAGTCGGCCGTGGGTCTCAATCATCGGGGCTTCCTTGCCTTCTGTTAGCTCTGTTAAATTCTATGTGGACCTTTTTTTTGTAAGCTTAACCAGATACAAATCCGGGGTTTTAAACATCCATCATGCGTCCACCGTTCCACGGCGTCCTTTGAGGTCATGCGTGTTATCAGCAAACATACGTGAGATACGGCCCCACTTCCTCCTCCGTGTGTCTTTCTGCATGCAATCTTTTTCCTGGGGTTTACAGAATTGACAGCTGCCGCACCCTTCTACCCATACGCCCCCTCGGATTGTCTGACCCATTCAAATGGCCTTTTGTTTTGATCTCTATCGTTTAACACTAAAAAGGGCCAGAAAACAGATTTCCCAGCAGAGTGTCTGTTCTGACAGACTCAGAAGTCTAAGTGTGACTGCTGGTTTGATTCAAACTCAAATCCCCCCCCCCTCTCACAGGTGTTTGCCACATATCCCAACGAGGACTACGACAGACGCAACGAGGACGTGGATCCCATGGCGGCCTCGGCCGAGTACGAGCTGGAGAAGAGAGTGGAGCGGCTGGACCTGTTCCCTGTTGAGCTGGAGAAAGGTACCGAATGTTAAGAAACGGGATTCAGTTCTCCCCTATTTGATCACGCAAACGTTTACAGTGTTTTTCGGCCAGCTTGAAGGCACCATGTTGCTGAATTGGACAGTACAGTTGGACAGAGGACGTAAGTTTTTCTATTTGTGAGGAGGGTAAATGTACAACCACTTATGTAAAGAGGCCTGAAGTCCTCCATCCGTTCTGGAAGCCATCTGGGCTTTCCTGAAGGTAGCGTGAGTGCAGTGGGGAAACTCTCTCCTTCTATCTCTCCGTAGTCGTCCACAATGCAAACATCCTCTCGTTTCGTTGCATTAATCATGTGCGGACGTCTATTTCTGTCCGCTGCATACGGGGTGTGTCCCCCCGCTCTAGGAGCCTCAGTGTGTGCCGTGCATTTCCCTCCAGGCGGGAAATGTAGGTACCATTCTGATAAAGATCCACAGCGACCTTTTAAAAACGGCCCCCGTTTCTATTTTCCAGACCAGGAGAAGGTTGATCTTTTCGGGCGTCGGGACACAAAGGATTTCGTGCATGCTTTTATTCAGCTGCTGATGATGTCAGGCTAAAGTATACAAAGAAAAAAAGTTCAGATCACTGCTAATCCTCACACAGCCTCCAGTTAGCCTCCTATTTCTCATATTTGGGTTGTAGTTAGAACCTATTGATCTTAATTTAGGGCTATGGACGCGCATTAAAATTAACTTTTTTTTTGCTCTCATCATTTCACCATTGAAATGATAAGTAAAATATATTTTTGTAGATTTCTAAGGATTTTTTAAGGCAGATTTGTGCCGTTTAAAGGGAGTCAGCACCCCACAAAAAAACAAACAAACAAAAAAGACGCTGACAGAGCTCCATGCTCGATCAACTAGCTAATCGGGTTCCCCGGCTCCCTTCCAGATGGTGACGGCCTGGGCATCAGCATCATCGGGATGGGGGCCGGAGCCGACATGGGTCTGGAGAAACTGGGCATCTTTGTCAAGACCGTCACAGATGGAGGAGCGGCACACAGGGACGGCAGGTTAGTTTCACCGAGCTTTTAACCGCCAAGCCGTTGGCGAACCTCTATTTTCAGCATTTTGAGAAAAAAAACACTGAAAACTGAAATGCCTTAAAAACTACCACAAGAAAACAACCCGCGTTTCTTGTGGTGTTTTTAAGTCCAGAGGCAGATGCTTATTTTTCCCTATTTTTGGCCGTGGGAAAGCCAGGACTCGATAAAGGAGGCTTTCTTTTGTGTCGGGGTTCGGGCTGTTTTAGTGACGCTCTCATGTCTCTGCAGAATCCTGGTGAATGACCTGATCGTGGAGGTGGACGGGACCAGTTTGGTGGGGGTCACCCAGAGCTTTGCCGCCACCGTGCTCAGGAACACCTCAGGAACCGTCAAGTAAGAGCCGCTCGGAGCCGTCTTACAGCCATTCTTCGACTGTTCTTTTACGTCCGGAAACCCACATTTGAGCATCTGCGTCGTCTTTAGAATCTACAGAGATGAACGCCTGCTGCTTTGACGGTCTTCTGATGGTCAGCGAGCCTCTTCATAAGCTCGGAACCTTTTCCAGGACTTAATGACCCATTCAAAATCCCATTTGAAATATTAGCCCGCCGAACATGTTGTTCTCTGTTTTGCAGCTTGTTCTGGAATCTGGGATTCTTATTTTAAATAGCTGGGTTTCCTTGGATATATACACCCTCAGACAACCTCTCATACACACACACACACACACACACACACACACACACACACACACACACGAGGCTGACTTCTGCCACATCCTGCCCATTCGGTTCACCAGACTTAAAGATTTATATCACAGGTCTCACGGGGTCATGATTACACCCTTCTGCTTCTGGGAGCTCCTTTTTGTTTTTTAAACGGTTCGAATGAGCTCCAAAGACTGGGCTCCAGAGCCACAGTGAAATCACAGTTATCAGAGACAAATACAGTTGGCATCACGGGCATCAGACAGCTATTGGCTTTCTTCTGGCTGTTTCTGTGAGCTCCTTTTGGAAGTCGAGGCCATTCATAATTCAGGGGTTTTCGCGGTCAGGGCAGTTGGGATAATTGTTAGTGTGGCGAGACCCGGGAAGATGGGAGACCTCCTGTAGACGGATCATCCATTCCCGACGGCGGGGGGGGGGGCGAGCCGGCCGGATAAACGGGCCCAGACAGGAAGTGTGTTTGTGGACATTTAATTACCCGTTAACGCTGGCGAAATTGAAAGGTGGCGGCGGGCGGCTTAATAACCGTCTGCCTCTTTGTCACGGCTCGGTGTAATTTTCCCCCCTGTTTGCTGTTTGCCTTAATTTGACAGAGATTTGTGAGTCTCGGTCAGGAAGCACAGCCTCTGTAATGACAGTAGGACGAGTAAAAAAAGGAAAAAAAAGGATTTTACGAGTTTAGCTCAGGCCCATTACAGGCAGCCGTTTTTCTGTCATCAGCCTAAATGAATACATTTAAGAACTTAGGGGAGGCTGCGAGCTGTTCATTAAACAAGATGAAGGCTCCGGGCTGTATGAGCTGATGGGCGTTTTCTCTCTCTAACCCGCAGGTTTGTGATTGGCCGGGAGAAGCCGGGCGAGCAGAGCGAGGTGGCCCAGCTCATCCAGCAGACGCTGGAGCAGGAGCGCTGGCAGCGGGAGATGATGGAGCAGCGCTACAACCAGTACATGGACGAACAAGAGGTCGGTCTCCCAGATCCCCAACACCAAATCCTGCAAACGCACTCTACCCGTTTTCAGAAATGACGTCCCTGTCCAGTGAGTGTAAAGGTGCCGTTAAAACATTCAGCCACGCAGACAAACGGCACGTTTTACATACAGATTCCTAGTTTTTTAAGTCCCCCAGTTTCCCTAGAGGATTGACAAATCCATCTCTCTCCCCCGACAAAGAGTCCAAATCGTCCAGTATGTATTATCAGCACGATCAGACGGTAAGCCCGGCTCAGAAATGAGGACAAATCTGGATGACTCAGATTGTGTGCCCCCGTGAGCCTTCTCCTCTGCTGTCCCGGTCTCTGATTTTTTTTGCCTCTTTTGTTTAGACGTGCGTCGCTTTCACTCGAAGGGATTTGAAAAGGGAAGGTTTTCTTGTAATAACAGGGTGGAAGTTACCCCATGCGTGGTTTCGGGGGGGAGACAGTGGGTAGTCCTTCAAAAGCAAGAGGGTTGTATAATAGGAAAGTCCTGGACTTGTTTGGGTTTTGTACCATCTAGTGCCCGCTTGGCGTCAATGCACTGAAAAAAAAAAAAGACTGAATTGTCACTTTCTGTCTTTGTTTTGATTCAAATAACCAGTTATTTAACTAAAGTCATTTTTAGTTAAATTAACCGAAAACAAAATTTGACTCAAATTCAGTTTGGGCTTTCTAGGTGCAGCAGATTTGGATGAAACTTTGCCTGTTTTCTGCACATCTCCGCAGGGTGGGGAGTACGGTACGGACGAGGAGGAGGACGAAGACGAGGAGGCCAGTCCGCCCTATCCCAGTGCCATCGAGGTGTTCGATCTGGCCGAGAACGAGGACATGTCCCCTCTGGAGACGGACCCGGAGAAGCTGGCCCACAAGTACAAAGAGGTGAGGCGTGAGTCCCTGAACGCAGCACATCTGGTCTGTGATCAGAGAGATTGTTTCTTACTGTTAACGCAGGTTTTTAAAAGTGACTCTTTCTTTTTGAAAGCTCCAAATCAAACATGCGGTGACTCAGGCTGAGATCCAGCAACTGAAAAGAAAGGTGAGATGTTTTTCAGTTTGTCAAAACCAACATAATCCTACAGTAAGAAAACGCAAAGGGGCATTCCTCGATGAATTGGAGGATGCCATTGGTCGTGACTGAATCTTGTCACCTGCAGCTGCACCACGCCGAGCAGGAAAAGCAGCGCTGGCGGATGGACAAGGCCCAGCTGGAGCAGACCCTGCACGAAAACAAGGAGCGCATGGAGAAGCTGGAGGGCTACTGGATGGAGGCGCAGAGCCTGTGCCAGGCCGTGGACGAGCACCTGAAGGAGACGCAGGCCCAGTACCAGGCGCTGGAGCGCAAGTACAGCAAAGCCAAGCGCCTGATCAAGGAGTACCAGCAGAAGTGAGACGGCTCGGGAGGGAGGGGGAGGAGGGGTCAGACGAAAAATGCGCGGATCCCGACGCTCACGCTCTCTTTTCTTCAACAGGGAGATCGAGTACCTGAAGAAGGAGACTCAACGTTGTGCACAAGTCGGAGCCGAAGCCACTCTTTTGAAAGAGGAGTCAGGACAGCTTCAAGAGCAGGTAGGGGAGGTAATGAGGAACGTTTTGCTTATTTGAATATTCTGTCATTTTAGCCTGTAAGCAAAGGCAGGATGAGTTACTGAGAAAACTATCAGTGAATATCTAATGCAACAAATTGGAAATTAGTGTTAGAAATCGTCCACCTAAGCAAACCGTGGTTGTCCTGAGCACCTTCTTTTCTGTTTTTGTAGGTGGCTGACCTGGAGTGCCGAGTGGAAGAGCTGAAATCTGAACCTTTATAGAAGCCTTTTTCCCATTTCATATGAAAGTTCACCTGTTGAAGGAGTGTAACTGTCCTCGTGTTGAACAGCAGGGTATTTCCTCACGGACCGTACGCGTCCTCAGGCCTCGTGTTTTCAGCCACCCGACCCTTTTAATTCTCCCTTTTTTCCGTTAACATTTCCAGAGACACGAACTCTCATCATCGCAAGCGCTCCGTTGAGGTCTAGATGTACTGTTCCTTTTTTGGAGATCAGTATTTTATCCTTTCATTTTGTCATTTTGGGACAGACCAAGCCGTTGCTTTTAATTGCCAAAAACCACATTTCCTTTCTTTCTTTTGTCTCGTTTTGTGACTTCTGTTTTTCTCTTTTTTTGTATAGATGTGATACTGTGTGGTTTAACAATCAGTTTGATTTGTACAAAAAAAAAGTATTACATTTAACATAATATAAACTAATCAGATTGAGGGTTGTTGTATATTTTACGGGACGAGGACGATGGTAAGGCGGATGGAGATCGCACTGAAGAAGGCATCCACACGGTGCCGCACTGGGACGGTGGAATAAATGGGAACAAGCGTGATTTGTATTCAAAATTGTACAAACGGTAACCCAAACTTCTAAAGGGTCCTGTCACAAAACCTTGAGAACCACTCGCTGCCTACCTTTCCGAAGTGTTTCGTGTATTTTTACACATTAAGACTGAGAAAAAAGAAGTGACCGATCCTCTGGTTTTTACCCCTCGCATGGATCCAAGGACCATGGAATCAAGCCTCCACCTCTGCTGTGCCACAAATGACAACAGACCCCCACCCTGACCCCTCCCCTCTCTCAAGTGGATGTTGTTAAGGACTTGTGTAACTGCGATTAGTTAGAACTACTGATTCATACCAGACTGGAAACATAAGGAAGTCGTTACCAGCAGCAAGTTTAAGTCTCAAACCAGCAGCTGCACTCGCCACCACTGTGTGTGGCGTCTAGAAAACACTGCCAGGTTTCCGCCTGATTCAGTTTACGCACAGTTTGAATAAGTCTGCTCGTGTCACCTGTCATACCAGTATGTTTGTACAGTTCAGGTCAGACTTAAATATTTTCATTTTACTCAATATTTATAATGTAGTCAAGGTGGAACTATGAGCTAACAAGGACAAAAAAAAACAAAAAAAAAACTGACAAAAGCAACGAAGAAGGTCATAAAATAAAATAGACAGTAATACTGTGTCATGTAAAAAATAAGTAGTAGATCTGGATGACTATTAAAACAACATCTAGAATTACTTAATTAAAAAAAAAAATAGGCATGGTTATGACTATTTTCATAATATTAAGGCTTGTACAGTGCACACGCTTTGCATTGTATGTTTTGTGGAATAAATGGTCAACAGTGATGGTTGGTGTCTTTTTCCTTTATTCGCGGCAACAAAATAAGAATGTTGACAATGGTGACATCTTAAGATTCTTTAACTAAAAAAAACAAAACTGAATAAATTGTGTTTACCTGCCTTACTATGAAATATTTACTTCAAACGAGGTTAAATACTATGTACAAAACACTCAACTTGGAGTGACGGGCGACAGTTAAAGCGCTTTAGGGGAATTTCCTAAAGTCCTAAAAAAACAAACGGTGAGGGCTCTACGCGTGCATCTTCTGATGGTGCCTCCTGAGGTGGTAGTTCCGGGAGAAGCTTTTCCCGCACTGGCTGCACTTGAACATCCTCTGCCCCAGGTGCAGCATCTGGTGGGCGCGGAGGCTCTGCGGCCGGCTGAAGCTCTTGCTGCACTCGGGGCAGCTGTGCGGCCTCACGCCCGTGTGCTTCCGCTCGTGCCTCTTCAGGTCTCCCGACTGCCGGAAGCTCTCGCCGCAGTGCGTGCACAGGTAGGGCTTCTCGCCGGTGTGCGTGCGCAGGTGCACGTTCAGCTGGCCCACGTAGGAGAAGCTCTTGCCGCAGTGGGGGCAGCTGTAGGGCTTCTCGCCCGTGTGCACGCGCTGGTGCTGCTTCAGGCCGTAGTGGTTGGTGAAGCCCTTCCCGCAGTCCGTGCACAGGTACAGCACCTTCAGCTGCCTGAAGCACGTGTGCGACTTGAACGTCTTGGCGTTCGCGCAGTTGATCCCGCAGTGCGGGCACACGTAGGCCCCTTCCTTGTCCTCGGGCGGGTCAGCCAGGCCGTCCTGCTCGCAGCGGGACAGGAACTCCACGGGGTGGTGCCTTTTGACGTGTTTGACCAGGTAGCTCTTCATGGTGAAGGAGAACTGGCAGAAGGAGCACGGGAAGAGCTCCGAGGCGCAGTGGTACTTCACGCAGGAGTTGCTCTTCTGGTGCTGCCTGAGCTTCCCGGAGGTGGAGAAGTCTTTCCCGCAGCGCTCGCAGGAGCACGCTTTGGCGCCCGGGTGCGCCAGCTGCTCGTGCCTTTCCAGGGAAGCGGAGTCCTCGAAGGTTTCCGCGCAATGACCGCACCTCGGCCGCTGTAGGGAGCACCCGTGTGCTCTGAGGTCCTCTGGGCTGCCGTACGTCTGTTTGCAGTGATTGCAGCCGAACCGTTTAAATTTCTCCGGCTCAGCGGGGCTCCTCTCGGCCGGGGCCAGGCCGGCCGATTTGCGTCTCGGTGCTATGAGTTTTGTCACCGAGGAAACTTTGGACCTCGCTTTGAGACGCTGCGGCCGCTGGTGGACTGAATCGCCGGCGGCGGCGGCGGGTGGACCACCCTGCAGATTGTCCGCCGGGATGCTTTCGGCATGAAGCTGGTTTATGTGCTGCTGCAGGGCGTCCACCGAGGAGAACGCCGCCAGGCACTCGGCGCAGCTGAAGGGCATGGTGACGGGCTCCTCGGGGTCCTGGCCGCCCTTCTCCCGCCGCTCGCCGCCCTTCTGGTGGCTCTGGAGGTGGCGGTTCAGGTCGTGGTGCTGGCCAAAGCACTTCTGGCACACTGCGCAGACGTACGGACGCAGCCTCTCGTGGACGGTGGCCTTGTGCTTTTTGAAGGCCGGCTCGTTTGCAAAGCTCCGCCCACAGTCCGAACAATTGGGCGAGCACGTTTCCGCCTCGTGGACGGGAGCATCTACGCCGTCCGCCGACTCCTCCAGATCCCGCGTGACGGCGGCTCCTCCCGTTTCCGGGGATTCAGGTGGTTCTGCAGTTTTTAATAGTTCTTCCTTTGGTTGCGGGCCCTCTGTTTCGCATGGGCTCCTGTTTCGGTTCTGAGCTTTAAGTGCAGCCTGCTTTCTGTGAACAAGCTGGTGTCTGATTAAGCCAGAAGCTTGACCAAAGCTCCGCCTGCAATGCGGACAGCAGTACGGCCGCTTGTTTGAGTGGACGGACAGCTTGTGCCTCCTAAGGTGAGGTATTTGCTTGAAAACCTTCCCGCAATCATCGCATGTTTTGGACATCATAGAATCAACAGATAATACCACCACAGGTGCTGGGGAGGGAGCCGAATCTGCAGTGGAGGAGAGATTTTCATCACCGGCTTCTTCAGGGGCTTCAGGCTGCATGTGGAAGTATTCTTTATGTCTCTGGAGGAAGGCCTCTGTTGTGAACGAGAGCTGGCAGTGGGAGCACAGGAAGACCGGAGACGTTGCAGATATATTCCTCTCTGCAATTTAGAAAAAAAGCAACATTAACTGGTTAGCTCACTAAAAGGTCACTTGATTTAAACGACTAGTCTTAACTTAAACAAACATCTTAAAATACGGACCCATCGTAGTCAACTTCAAACTCCACTTCTGGTTCCAGTCTTTGCTAAAGTGGGAGAGCAGTTTTCTGCTGGGCCACACGGTGAGCTCATCTCCAGTATTTATGGTGCGGCAGCAGTGAAAAAGGATGCTGCCTTTATACTGAACAGCCAACAAGTTGGTTTCTTCTTTGTTACGAGCTAAATTGACATACCTGTATAAAAAAAAAGGCAATATAAATGCAATTGCTGAAGACTGAACTGGCTTAATGCGGTTTCTGCTATAATTTTGATCAATTTTGTAATGCAATGACACTGTTAATTTAGAAGTCAATACCTCATCCAGTTGGAAAATGAATCTTTGGTTGCATCGATGTATTCATATTGGACTTCTTCTTTGTGAATCTGTAATAATTGAAAATACCAATAAAGCAGAACCTTAGTTAAAACACTCTTTAAATCGGGACTCATTCAGGTGAACACATCACATCTCACCTCCCAGGAGAAGTCACTTTCCATGGCATTTTCCTTTGTTGTCAATTCCCCCTCATATGGTCCAAAGTGCATTCCTGGAGACACTACTGGTCCTTGATTTATCACCCCCACCCCTGCACCAGGAATACTAGACCTCCCTATCATCATGCCATACGGTAAAGTAAGGAGTGCCCTCTGTGGGACCCCCACGTTTGTTGGAAAATCAAGAATAAAAGAAGGGCCATTAATGTTGTCAGGATCATTCTGGTCCTGGAAGAGAGTCAGACACTCCTCACAACCTGGCGAATGAAACAGGAGAACACATTGAATGAATACGCCAATAAGAAACCAAATTATACTGAATTTTACAACCATGTAAGGGGATCTGCAATCCTGCAGTGAATGTGTACTAATTCATTTGGCATTGTTAAAAGTTGAAAGATGTCTAGACAGGAAAACACTTTTAGCAAGCTAAATAAATCAAGATCTACCCAGTTATGATACACATGAAAAAAGAACTATTTTCCTTACAAAAGCCGTTTTGACCCTCTGAATTTTCTTGTCCCACAGTGTCCAACAACTTTTGGATTGATGTCTGTCCTGGCTCCACAGTCGGTGCCACTGTTGAATCAAACGATTCCAGTTTTATCAAATCAGCAATCCATAAGGTTAAGACACAAAGTGTGATATCCTCTTTATTGTGGAGTACCTGATGGAGTGTTTTCCTTAGTGAGGAAGGACTCATCTGCTTCTACAACTTCCACGGTTGTTTCGACCCACTCCACGTTGCTGCCCCTGTCCGACATGAGTAAATACTCTACAAAGAAAAAATAATTAACTAAGTTTATCGATACATACATACACACATCATTCTAATAATCACACGCAGGAAAATTCTGGTGAAAGCAGCTAACGTTACTGTGCTGTGCTGAACAAATGTTGCAGGCTAGCATGAATGTAACATTTAATGCAGATTACGTTTAACTGAGAGGCCATTCTGTGAGAAATTAGGAAATATTACGTTTTTTTAGTGTAGTTGAAACGTTTCTGGTAAATATTATCACAACTTTACCACATGTAGCAATCCAAGATCAGTTAGCACCTAATTGACTCAACGCATAGTCAAATACAAAAAAGAACTACACTGTCGTTACTTTAGACTTCGTAAATAAAAATATACAAGTATCCATACCTATTCAATTCACAGCACTAATATTCATTAGACACTCCTCTGGTTAGCGTTTGAAACTAAGTCATTTTTGGCAGTCATAGTTAGCATACCGGAAGCTAAACCAACCATAGGCTTCTCCCCCGGAAGTAAATGCAGCTGCCTTTCAGCTTAAAATAAACATCCCTGTCATTTTCTAAATTTATTTTATAATTTTAAAAGTCAAACCACACGCTTTTTTGTCACTCTAAAGTATTGCTTAACTACAGACACAAAAAACATATATATCACCATTCAGGCAGGGCCGGTTTTAGATCAAACTAGTCCATGTCTCCCTGGATTTCCATCAGGCGCCGCTGGTGTAGTGGTATCATGCAAGATTCCCATTCTTGCGACCCGGGTTCGATTCCCGGGCGGCGCACGTATTTTTTACACCTGAAAGCGTTTTGCAAGCTTTACATCTCTTATCCTGCCATGTGATAAGTCCCATAATAATATTGTTTTTTATTTTACATTTGACACCATATTGAGACCAACTGTTTGATTGACTGTGATCAAGCTTTCATGTGTGAACAAGACTAAACTTCAGTATATTTCAGATATTGTGAATCTTAATGTAGTCATTAAAAATGACAACGATCTCATTTGGTAATTTAGGACCATGGTCATCCGGTGTTGCTGGGAATATATGCCGAGTAATTCTGTTTCCATTCTGATAAAAGTGCGTGTACACGTGATTCCCGTAAAGTCCATTGGGCATGCGCACTACAACAGTCAGCGTGAGTAACCGTGTGGTTATGACGTGGTCTGTATGGTGCTGAGACTCAGCCGCTGAGCAAACAGTTTAGCCTCCCTGGCGGTCCAAAAGCGGTCTGTTCTGTCTGGATATCTGCGTTTACTATCGGTACGCAACACATTTTTTTTCCATGTTTGAAGGATTCACAGGTCAATGTTCAGTGACATAACAAACACAAACAAATGAAAAACAAAACATGTTTTGGAAATGATGAGGTACAAATACTGGGCTGAAAATTAGTTGAAAATAAGTAGCCAATGTCCAAGAAAAACTCTGAACGATTTTCAGAAAGCCTGGAAAACCATACACCCTTAAACACTACAAGAAAACCCTGCTACTTTAGAAGTGGCTTAAGACTTTTAAACAGCGCTCTGTGACATTCTAAACAAATAGCAGTGATCATAATTATCCTTAAAGATTGGCCAATTGTTTGATATTTGTGCCTGGATTCCTGTTACCTGCTGTCTCTGGGAATGTTCAGGCTGAGCAGGTGTTTATAACGTGCTGACATTGTAGATATTGAAAAAGCCATCAAACCGACACAAAAGTAAAATGTATTTTGTTTAAGCTCTTGTGTGCCTCTTTCTATGAGTAGAAAAGAATTGTTCTTAATTCATCATTATTTTCCTTTGCCTTTAAACAGCACATAACAAAATGAGTGGTGTCCTATTATTTACTGACCTCTGCTGGAAAGCAGATAGAAAGACAAAATAATTTAAGCTTATGCCTGGTTTCACTCAGTATCCGGTCTCTACAGAAGGCTACTGGGAATCAGTTGAATTGTGAGGACATTCTAAACATTCTCGGTAACATTTCTGCACATCATGTCACTGTACAACTCTGCAACTAGAATTTTCACTTATTTCATTCATGCCCACGAATGAAATAACTAGTGTGCACAAGTCACATATTTTTTTGGGGTGATAATTTTTCTTGTTTAAAGTTCTACATTCAATATAAAAAGAAAATGGTCTGTGGAAATTGAAAACTTTTTGGGGATCCTTGAATAGGTAAACTTGCACACCCACACAGACTGCAATTGTACAGCTGTGTATATATATTTAGGGGACTTGCGGTCAGGGGAGGCAGAGCCTCACCGGTCATCATCACAAGATAAAACATACGATAACATATTCATATTTGGCGCTTTATGGAGTTCAGTCCGTTTTATTTGATTAGTTTACGGGCAGTTCTGCCCCATCCAAAATAGCGGACTACAGTGAAAATGGCCAAAGCAAGAAAAAAAAAAAAAAAGGAAAAAAAAAGCCATAAAGATTGAGAAGTCTTGGAGAGGAGGAGGCAAATCCTTTTGGCTGAGTTAAAAGGCCACAGCCAGACCCCTTTTTCTCTCCCCTCCTCCAGTTCACGTCTTGTGTCAGCCAATCTGTACGTTCTTATATGCCCCCATCTCAACTGTGAGCACTTAGTGCATGAGATCATTGCTTTAACTGAATGTAGACAGCTGCTGTTTGTTGTACTCCTTTTCTTGTGTTATTCTCTTTTTCTTTGTCAAAGAAGCCTCCTCAGAGCTCCAGTGCACGCTGTTTGCAACTCTGCTGCCATGCCTTCACACCTGGAAGCTGCTTAGTGCAATCACAGCTCACCACTGTTGACCAGTGAATGGCGTTTTCCAGCAGTTTAAACTGAAATGCCTTACTCTTGGGATTTCAACGGCAGCTGTTCATTGAGAGGAGAGTGTAGCACTTTAACTCTGTCTTGCCTCTCTTGTCGGCACATGTCATTATCAGAAGCTCTGAATGTCTGTGTTCACATATTTTTCCGTGTGAATTTGTGTGAGGCAGGAACACCTGCATGCCAAGTGAACAACAGTGTGGAAGAAGCAGAGACGTGATAATGTAAAAGGGCCCATTTCATATCTCACCAACTGGTGAAAAATCAATGCGGGATGCCTGGAAGAATTCCAAATGAAATGTGAATCAATGCCATCTCCAGCAATGTGTATTGGGATAACTTGATGTCTTTATCACAAATTATTTAGATATGTATTTCTCTCTCTTTATATTCATTAGAAAAGGTTTAACATTGATTTAAGTTGTATGGGTTTCATTGTTCTTTGCTACTCTTGAGCCTTCAATAGCTGTACCAGGAAAACATTCTCTTAAAGGCTTTTTTAGAAACTTTTGCACACAATAAATAATTCCAAAGATCTTTTTGTCCCATGAAAATGATCATACCTAAATGTTTAGTCATCCTACTGGTTAGTGTGTGCGCTGATGAATATGCTGAAAGCAAAAGTAGAGAACAGAACTGGGCTCAGCATCAGTCAGAAAAGCAGTGGCAAGCTTTGTAATATCTAATTAGTGCAATGTAATGTGGAGTTGTTTTATGTTTACAATTGTTAATATTTGTGCTGAATGTATTATTTGAGAAAAAACCCTGACAAGCACTCTGACTCAAAGTGCTGAGATTTTAAATGTTTGTACAAGGACAGAAACATATTCAACAATAAAAGCATTCCTAAAGCGATAATGTCCCCCTAAATTTGACTTTATATTTTTAAAACAGTCATATTCATTCTATATTATAAGTACAGTTATAAGCTACTTGTACTTTTTTCCTTGTTTACAGTTTAAAATTAAGATTTGAAAGACTAAATGTCATTTTGCAACTTTTACTTGTTTTCCCATCTGGAGTTTCCCTAAATGTTTTGAAAACCCCTGATTTTTTTTTTTCCAAATTCCAGAGTGATTTAAATTTGATCAAATGGCAAGATGGCGGACTCTCACTGCAACGCACGAACAAGGTAAGGAGCCGGAGGGGGGGCTACCGGGCTACCGCGCT